TAATTTTAATCTTTAAAAGATGGAATAAAATTTTAAATAGTCCATCAATTGATTTCAAAAATTCATTTAAAAATCATTTAATTTATGTTGATGTTTTCTGAATTTGATACGATGATTTAAAATTAGCTGTTATGCTGAAAGTTACAGAAAGAGATTTTTTTTAAAAAATATATAGATTGATCTGTATTAAAATATAATGCATATTAATTTTTTGCGTAAATGAAAGTGTAATTTTTTAAAATATAAAAACTTTATAATTTTTTGCTATTAAAAAATATTCATGAACAGAGTGGAAAGTAATATGCTACATTTATCTCAACTACCTTACATGTTTAATTTATTTATATTTAATTAATCTCCAAAGAGTTATTGGTTGAAAAAAAAATTGCTAGACGTACGTCTATATGTGGTACGTACACACTCTTTTAATGAATAGAAAATAAAGTAATTAATTAAAGTGATATATCCGTACATTAATTTTAATTTATTTTCGATAGATCCCATTTTAATATTTTATATTCGCGCGGATCTAAACTTGTTCCTTTTATTCTTTTTCATTTCAATAATTTTACATTGAGAATTTTTATCAAATGAAAAAGAAAAGGTAAAAAAAAAGAAAAGAACTTATAATAGTTGGTGCGATTTTAAAGTGAGATTTATTTTAAAAGATATAATCATTAATTAAAAATGAACAATTAAAATTCGAATAATTATATAATTTATCACATAAATGTATGTATTTAATTACAATTTTAATTTCGTTATTTTGTTAATCTTTACTCTTTAAAATGACTCTAGTTTAGTGGAGTCAAATATTATCAATACTATAAGTTTAACATTAAGTCTTATTGATTATGTTATACTAATATTTCTAAATCACACATTTTGTTTTTGGAATCCCTAGATGACAACATATTTCTAGTTACACCTACGTTTTTGTGACGCAGTGATTTTCTTTGCGTTGAACTCTTTCATTAACATCAGAGCATTTTTTTATTGACTTTGTTAATTTCAGATTTTAAAGCATAATATAACAAATAATCGATTCCTTAATCTGAAATTGGTTTATTTATTATATAAATGAGGGATAGTCCACACGCATAGAACAACAAAGAAGTAGATGGGGGAGGCAGTTCAATTGGTATAAAGAGGCATCACCATTTCACATTCATTAATTCAATGGTCAACTTTGAGTTTAAACTAATATTGTAGTGCTGTTTGTAATAGACATGACAGAGGGACAAATAATTATGACTTTCGTATATTCAGAAAGAGGGTACTTCATGACTAGGAACCCCTGGCACGCTTTTATTTACCATTATCAAGTGGTATTTGATTTAATTAATCTATGCCTTAGTTTATGTTTGTTTTTATTTTTAATTGCAATTGGTTTTGTTATATTCTTCTTTGTTATTAAATGAAATTTTAGGATAAAATATTTAGTTTAAATAATTAAAATTAAAAAGATATAATCACATATAAAAACTAAAGTGTAATGAAACATTTTTTTTTATTATGAAAGAAACAACAATGAATGCATTTCCTTTTAACTTGGGAGGGTGGTTGCATGAGGAAAGCCTCAAGCAGGCGTTTGCAAATGTTCTTGCAATTTCCACAAATCAAGATAACATTTTTGTGGAGTTTGTGAGTGAAAATTTCCAAGCTTGGCGTTTGTTCAACTAGTTTTTGTATTGGCTTTCTCACGGTCAAGGTGGTGATGATGCCCACATGGACTTCTCTGTGTATTATTTAAAAACAATTAATTCATACCAACCCATTCCTATACAAATCATGAAAGTCTTTAGTTACCTTATTCTTTGTTTTCAAGGTTTACTAGTCAAAATGATAAACTCAGCCTAATTGCGGTTCAAAGCAAAGGATTTCAATGAATTGTAAGAGAACTAATATACGTTAGAAGATAAAACTGTTATGGTCAGCTTTTCAATTTCTTTGTGTGAAATATATATGAATTGGATGTTTTTTATGAGTACCTTTATCTTGACATAAACATGCTTTTCTTGATTAGGTTTTAACAAATAAATTAATGCGTGCACAATTGACCAAAATATGTCATCCAATTACCATGAAACAAAAAGAAAGATAATTCAATTAAATTATACATCTAAACCAATAATAGCACCCTCTCCCTTTCAAAGCTGACAGAGTGGAGGATCAATGATCAATGATTAGTTCCTAGTTCCAACATGGCCGAAGCTAATCAAATATGACAAATTACAGCGAAGTCACAACAGAAAAAAAATGTAATCATAGAGTCCATATACATGCACACATAATTTGCTAATAATTCTGTCAAACTCAAGCTTACTTGTTTTGGTCGGCTATGAATGTATGCTTCTGAATAGTAATCATCAATTATGGTCAATTGTACTATATATTGAGGAAATCCATTGAAGTGAGTGCTAAAACAAGATCATTCGTGAACCATATTCCGGGAACATATGCTTAATTCGATGCTCACATTCATTTAATTTTAGTACGTTTGTGTGTGAGAGAGACAAATGACTCTTGCTTAATCACCGAGACTCGCGCATGAAACAACGCTCTAATTGTAGCATACACAGTTAAAATTAATTAGTTGGATTGCTTCACACACTAACATGTAAGCATGTGAGGAGACATGCCATTGACGAATGCTTATATCTATCTCACATGAAATTCATTATTTGTTCAGGTATTCTTTGATGGGTAGGTATCATTTATATAGTGTTGTGCTATGTGCCTTATTATGTACTTAAAGAAAGTAATCTCTCAAATTAAATACTTGATGATGTACGGAATATAAGAAGGTAAATACATTTTATTTACATAATTGTCATTGTTTTTCTTAATATAGCATAGATCACTCACTCTCGGAAAGATAAAAAAGGAAAACTTTTAATTAGTATCAAGTTTATTTTTTGTCTATTAATTCTTTTAGGTTTTTTTATCACCACTTTAATTTTCATTTTTCCGGTGAGCAAAAGGTATAATTTTCTTGGTCCAAATCTAATCATGCGTGCTCCCATGCAAGAATGATAATTTACCAACGAAAGGTGGGTGTCCTTTGGGTCTCCCCTAACCTCATTTTCATCCAACACCTCCTCAAATTACTCACAATTAACCATTGGGTACATGAGAAGGCGCACACAGGTTGCCCCTCTTACGGAAAACAATAGCAAATGGAGTGTTTTCTTGTTACATATGCTTCTCATACATCCATAATTCCAAATATGCTCTTAACTCTTAAGTTACCCACTTGGTGGATTCATCCAAGTCAATGTACTTTGTTGTATTTTTGTACCTTTGTTGGACCTAATTAGTTGTCCCTGGCATTGCAAACCTAACTTAGGAAGCTATAGTCTCATAAAAAAAAGAGAGTATTAAAGAGAAATGAAAGCCAAGAGCGAGTTATTGCCTCTAAAAAGCAAAGCACGTCAAATGAGAGTTTCAGGGTAATTGTGTACGCACTCATTTCTGTCTGCCTATGCTCTTTTGGAGTCATTTCATTACCCACTTTTCATTTTGGAAGATTCCCCGTTCGGATATGGAACTATTCAATTGATGGGTATAGTTTAGAATATAGGAAGAGAAATTGAGGGTAAAAAGAAAAGGAAATGAAGTTGTTGAAGATCGTTGATTTTCAATTTTCTAGATACGACTTTGAAAATTTTGGGGAAAGTGAGAAGCACATAGCATATACTTTTCCAAGTGGCCCATTTTCTTTCTTGTCCGCTAATGCCATATAGATATTCCACTACCACAGCCCCCTCTTTTTTCTCCTACTTTCAATTGGGCCTCTCAATTCGTAAGTGGAAATGCAAAAAAACGTTACATAACAATATGATCAATCCATTGAAGCAATATGCTATTATTATTATTATTATTATTATTATTATTTATAGATATTGGGTCCACAAGATTTTCAAGCCTAGGAATTATTTTGGCAATGCGGCAAATGGTATATGATTAAACTCAATTGACGTACAAATGACATAACAGGTTGGCTTTTCTGTCATTGAAGGGAAAGGAAAGGAATTCCCACTGAACATGCCATAAGCCAAAAATAAATAATTTTTTGCTCTTATAAATTGCTTTTCCCATGAACTCATCCTCTAAAATGAAGACGGCTAAATTACTCTTTTCAGGCTTTTGCCCCTTGTGAAACTCATGTGGAGGCGATCACTAGATTAGTTGAAAAAAGAGGAAAAGGATATTGACAGATATATTATATATGAAAAAAAAATATATATATATAGGGCCCTGAGTCAGTTGACAATTCTTAGAAGGAAATTAATACACCAAACTCACAAGTTACAGATAATAAATATGAATATGAGACCAACCTGATGACCAATGACTATTTCGTTCGTGTGGGCAATTTTTTATTTATTAATTTTTCAACCACCCTTTCCTTGAGTACCCTGTTTCATACTTGCCTTTGTAGGTCCCCAAATGAAGAGCTTTCTCCATCTCCATCATGGAGCATGCTCATTTCATGCAAATCACTTTCCTTTCAAAAACTTTTGTTCTTTGTCTATACAGTAAGCACCTTTATCAAACAAAGGCATTACACTAAAACCAATGTGCAATTGAACCCAATGATGCTGTCCATAATCTGGGCTAGAGTTGGACCTAATTGGCTTTAGAGGTTTTTATGCTTGAGCAAAGCCAACACTGGGTGTTTTAAAAGTGGAAAATCTATAATAATATACTCCAAACATAACTTTTAATAAAAGAGAATTATTAATTTCTTGGTATTATTAGTTAATGGGACTTTAATTTAATGACATGGACGCATAGTTATAATGCCCACTTTTCATAATTTTAGTTTCTTTTTGTGAATTCATAATTTTATTTGGAGTGAGTGTAGTGCACAAGACTTTCTTGAAGTTTGGGCTTACAGCAGATAGCCATCCAATTTACATGAATGCAATGACATTACGAGACTGCCAAAGAAAAAAAGGACCCGACCTAAAAAGAGAAAAAAGAAAACAAAATAACGACATTAAAAAAAAAGAAAAAAAAAATGATATTGCTTGAAGCACGAGTTTGTCAGTTTTTTTAATAGTAATAATAGGTAAGAAAAATTATTGGCGAAACTACCGAAAACAAAATTCATCCCTAAAGAAATAATTCTTCATTTACAATGCCAACCAAAACCTTAAAACTAATGTAGAGACTCAATGCTGGCCTGTGACAAAGGCAGCACCGTTTAATTAATTAAACAGAACAAATTACGAAGTCAACAACGTTGCTGCAACATCATCTAACAAAAGGAATGAGGAAGTATTCTGCGTAAAATAGCTGCATCAAGAAACAAGTTATCAATACAGGATCATGTTCCACTTTTTAGGTGCTAGGCCAGAGGATTTAGCGCAAACAATTTGGAAATAAATGTACAGATAAACTGGAAATAATTCATGCCCTCATGTGTCATGCGCTTTGAACAAAGTTGAATATTTTTACCAGAATATAAAATTAGACCAATATATGACTAAGTTCACCAAAATAGTCATACAAATTCATGTTCACAAAATAGGTTGTAGCTATAGTTATACATATAAATTACCTTCCAGATAAACATGTAGAAGGAAGTTATGGAAGCTTTACTTTTCAAATCTACAGATTTGGCACGAAACCAGAGAATTGAAGCCAGAACAGCGTGTCCCAGACCCTAAAACATTAGCAGAGAATAAATCTCAAGCATTGCAAAAATGTTCAAACTAGTTTACATTCACTTGATTGACCCAAGCTATCTTCTGAAATAATGCCTCCTTCAAATATCAATTTTAACTTTGACACTAATATCAAGATTAAAAATTTGGAATACTCTTTGCAACATGGACATATTTCCTAGTGACATAAACTAATAAATTTACAAAATGTTGATATTAGCCAACCAATAAACAGTAAAAATAGAGTATGAGAGGGCAGGCCGGTATATATATAAACTTCCTTGCAACTCGGTAGTCTAAGCTAAATAAACAAAATCACAACCCATCCCCAGCACCCTGGCACAAAACAATAACTGCTTGAGTGGAAGGATACAGCACTCTAATAACTGCAACCTATACATGTAATGACTAATAAGCATATTACCGTCACAATTTTGCTCCAGAGGCAAGGAGATGCTGCTCCCACCAGGAGAGCAACTCCATAAGCTATTTCAAGAAGGGAAACACAAGTCCAGAATACCTGTCAAAGAGTAGTTAGAGACAAACAAGGGATACAGGAGGGCAATCAATTTTGCTGAGATTTTGCATTGGAAGAACATACCGGCTTCTGACCTAAACGTACTGAAAAAGATTGAATGCCAAATATTCTATCTCCTTCAATGTCAGGTATATCCTACATGAAATTCAGGAGTTTACATTAGTACATATATTGAACCAAAAGTTTGATTGTGAATACAAGCACATACTCTATAAAATTAAAGACCTTTACCTTAAACAGTGCTATAACTACAGAGAAGAAACTCATAAATGCTGTGGCGAAAATCAGTGGTCTCGAAAAGACAGCAGCCCTCTTGTACACGTGAGTCTGGACATTGTTACGAGTTAGCAACCAAAATCCACCAATTTCATAGGGATGTATATTTATTGAATCAATGGAAAGTTATGACAAACTTGTCACATAACATACTGCCAACACTACTATTGTTAAAATGCACTTGTTTCTTTCATTTTTCCCTTTCATGTTAGATTAATCCAGAGTTAAAAGTCTTTATTTTTAAAAAGAATAATTAGCTCTAGGAGAAAACCTGCATGTGAAGAAAAAATGCAAGTTGAACTATTACTGCCCGAACAGCTAGAATGCACATTGCTGCAAGCAATGCAAATCTCTTCCATCTCAACAGGGGCACCTGAATTTTTTCAAAAGACAAGTTCGTAAAAGTGAGGCCGTCACAATCAAATAAGTTTCCTAAATGAAGTTTATTTAAGTCTAAACATATGACACTATTTTCCCACAGGATTGAATGAGGGTAGAGTAAAAACTATATCAGAGATTACACATGGTGGAAATAGATTCAGAATCATTCGATACCAGTAAAAACACAATTTTTTTATTTGAGCATAATCAATATCAGACAGCACAGCTACTCTCCTATTAGTGTATTAAGAATTTATCACTTGATTAATTGCTATCGCTAAAATATGAATCTCACATGATAACAAACATTATTACTAGTGTTAGAAAATTTCAATTCTTACATTTATGGCCAAGAAATTTGAAATGCAAGTATTATGCTGAGACCGAATAAGTACAACAATACTGCTCATGTAGATTTTCAAATTTAAGACATAGTATCCTAACCTTTACATAACTACGCCTTTAATATATGAGGGGAGAAAGGAAGTTTAAGTGCAATCCAAAATAACTCACATTGATTGAATAAGCAGTCCCTAGCACAAAACTAACAAACAGAGCCCAAAACAATGGCCAGGAACCTACAATCCAGCCAAGCCAAAAACTCTGTAGAAGAGAATAAGACAATAAGCCTCCTTCCCCCTGTCGGTAAACACTTGTCTTGAAAAATATCATTGAAAAAGAGAATGAATCAATATGGTACCAGAATGGAAAAAGATGCAACAATAATGACACCAGTTCCAAAGGAATATTCCCCGGATGCCAATGGAAGATATGGCTTGTTTATCTGCAGTAAAACACATAGCACAGATCAATAATAAGACAACCCATATGATAGTTGCTAGTTCCTCTGAAGAAGTTTGTAAGCTGTAAGAGGTTGCACTATTATTGACCATATCAAAGGCTACAGCAATCGGAGAAGCTTAATAAACTAATATATAAACCAGAGATTTTGGTGGTCAAAATTAGAAACTGCTCAAATAGTGCTTGTGAGCACAGAGATTCTTGTATGCACCTAGTCTATACGTCTCTGAATATCATACTTCAGATGAACCAGACAGTAATTCTGTGACTATCATTTAAACATTTTAATTATTGGAACAATGCAGAAGTCTGAAAACCACACCAAAATAAAATAAAATTATGAGCTATGCAGATTGTTTACTTCTTTTGGGAAGTTTCATACCTTATCTATTTCAACATCAGACAATTGATTCAAACCAACGATATAAATATTCATAAACAGGGCAGCAACAACAGCCTGAAACATATTAAAAAAAAAAAAACTCAAAATATTAGCAAAATTAGAGGGGGGAGCACTCGGCTATATTAAAGAGAAAAAGCATATTTAGGGTCTCACCTCCAACAAACCAGTAAAAAATGGTAGAGATATATCTGATAATTTCTCCACTGCAAGGAGAGACACAGAAATTATGCTCAGTGCCTGCCAAAACACAAATAAAGAAAGCCCTTTTAAAACCTTCAGAATATTACATTTATCCATAAAAGTGATTCATACAAACGAACTATACTAAGCATTTGAGGATTCTTTCGAAGAGTAATTCTAGAAAAGCTTGAACTTAACCGTGCCAATAACAGTGTGTGGCCTGGAAAATCTGTAGAAAGCATCCAAGGAATTTCTGACAGCGTCCAAAATGGGTTTTGAATGAAAAGATTGAGATTGAGATTCAAAAGATTGTCCAGAGGAAGCTTTCACAGCATATTTTCTATTGCATTCTTGAGATGTAGACCCTCCCTCAATCCCACGGTAATGATAGTTGAAACTTGGGCATCGAAACCGCAAAAAATTACATTCTTTTTGGATTTTCCTTTTGTGCCATGAAGCTTTGGGTGCATAAGAACCTAGAGCAGCACCAAAGGTAGAATGTTAAAATCAGTGACCACACAGAATCAAAAGTAAAATTTGTTTATCCCTTTATAATGAATCAAAGGTAAAGAAAATACTTATGGAAATGTTGCATTTTAATTAGCTTACAAATTGAATGCAATGATAAGAGCATTTAGATTGAAGAAGGAGACATACGAGTGGTGATTGAAGGGACATTAGGAAAAGATCGAAGAAGCAGCGAATCCATTAATACCGTTGCTGGGTCAGAATTTACTTCACTTTCATATGAACCCACCAACACACACTTTCACTTCCTTCCTTTTCTCTTCCCTCACTGCAAAGTGCAAAGTGAAAGATACCAAAATCAGATTTTTTTTTTCGAAATACATATACAGGTCACTTTCTGAAAGAAGGTACAGTAGGATGCCACGTCTCATCTAAATACTGAGATTCTCTTACCTACTCAACTAATACTATTACTCTCTTCCCATTTCCTCTTAACTTCAATGCATGCCGTTTTTCACGCTCTGCACTGAATTGCTAAATTCAACTAAATCTTTAAGAATCGTCATTTGTCACCTCTGTCATGATTATTTTTATTTAAGTAATTTTTATTTATATAATTTTTTAAATGTGTTTAAGATTAAAGGTTAAGAATGATTAGATATTAATTATTATAAAAAAATTATGAGTTGAATGTTGTTTATTAATTTAAAATAAAATTAATTTTATTTTTGAAAAAAAAGTATTTTTAAAATTTTAATATGTGCTCTTGAATATATTTAAAAAATTATAACTTTGATATAAATATTTAAAAGTGATAATAGACACATTTAATTTAAAGAAAATTTATTGACTTTAACTCAAGATTAAAGATTAAAAATAGTAATTTTTCATTATATATTTAAATTCAATGTTAACAAAATTAATGTTTAAATCACTACAATAAATTTTCATGTAATAACTTAACTGTATTTAGTTAATAAACACACACACCCTTTGACAGTGCAGGTGTAGGGTTATTTTCATATTTAATGCATTTCGTTTTTTAGTTTTAAAATGTCTATTTGATAAAAACTATTGAGTGTTTTGAGACTTGGCCGTTTAGTCTCTTGTGTTCATTAATTTCATACAAGTCTTTAGGCTAAGGAAAAAAAACAACATTTTCTAGTACAATGATTCTCTTGTGTAAATAATTAGTTGGGCAAGATCTGTGTGTCTATATTGTTTTTATTGATTTTAGAAAAAATTATATATGTACATGTAATATGATAAAACCTGAAAAGTAAAAATTCCATTAAAAAATATTTAATGTTTTTAAGTAATTTAATGCATTTAATATTTAACACTATGTTTTGGGATATGTAATAAAAAAAAACTCCATTAATTTTATAAAACTCAACTTATCTAATATTTATTAAGAGAAAAATACATACAAAATTTTACCCGATTTTTTATGTGAAGTTCGATACACATGATATATAATGATAATAATTATTTACGATTTTGTTAATCTAAGCACTGATTAATACTATTATGATTTTAATTTTTACGATTAAAGGATCATGCCTTCGCTTAATTGTTTGAAAGTGTTGATCGCCATTAATATAAACCCGTAACCTCGTGGAACTCCTCTTCCGTGAGAACTTGGCCAATCATGCATTTTGATAGTGAAGGCTTTTGACTTCAAAATGATAACGAAGCCTTTTATGGCGTATCTTTGTCCTATGTATTACTTTTCTTGCCATGGACGCCCCAAGAAACAAAAACAAAGAATTTGTCAAGTTAAATAAATTTTAATATTTAAAAGGCAAACAAAACAAAATTAATTAAATAGAACAAAGATATTATTGTTTATATTAAAAACATTTTTGCATAAAAAATATTATTAGTAATCAAATTTAGTATTTTTAAATAATAATCTATCAATGATTAAATTGAATAAAGTAAGCTTAATTAGAGTTTGGAGGAAAAGACAGATCCAAAAATGAGGTACCAATCGCAGTAGAACCTAAGAACTTGAGTTACTTGTAATACAATCTAATCCAATAGAGCTGAGAGTAAACTGTTGCCATAAATTCAAGCATGACATTACAATCTGAGAAAGACTGAAAGACAGCGATGGCTTGTAGTGTTTAATAGGAATTGCATAAATATCAATAAACTCCCCCATAACCTGATTGTCTAGCCTTAGCCTTATTTTTTCAGGTTTAATATAATTTTCTGTTCTCATCGCACTCTATTTTCATCCTATTCGTTATTGATTCTTGATATTCCAAAACAAAAAGTGATTCAATCTTCAATGTTACCAACCATTTAAGGCCATGAAAAGAACTAAGATTTCATATAAAATAAATGAAAATTAAAAATGACATTATCGATGATTTTATTTTAATTAGACTAAAAAGTTCAAAATTTTCATGTTGAAAACTAGTTTTAAAGAAGAGATTGAACTTGAGAATATAATTATTCACGTAAATGGTGAAAATTTATTTTTTACTACACCTTTGACACATCCCTTTGGAATAAATAAAAAGAATTTTAATGGAAGGGAAAGCTCAATAAAAGCTTTAGATATACTTTTAGTTCTTGTATTTTAATTTATGTGCAGTTTTAATTTAGTCTCTGTTTTGTAATTGTCTAAAATAAATTTTTGATATCAATATTTTATTCAATAATTAACAAAAATATGATAAAAATGTAATATATTATTAATTCATACAAATTTTAAAAAAAAAGTTTATAAAATATTTAAATAAAAATCAACCTATTTTTTTTAACATTTCTTTTTATCTATTGGAAACATTTTTGAACCCTTCTAAGCCCGTTGCCAACGTTCTAATATACACTAAACACAAATTATTGACACTAATTAATTCCTTTTTGAGACATGTAAATTTTGGTCGATGTAGGATTGGACCCTTTTCACCTTTGATTTTTTTTTTTCTAGGATCACGTCCTCGGAATTTGTATTAACTTTGGAATGGTAGACTTGTCAAATTGTTGCCTTCAAGTTAGTGAATTTGTCCCCCACATAACCTTTCATACATCTTCCATTTTAACATTCAGCACATATATTATTTATTTAGTGAATATTAATTTATTTATTTATAAAAAAATCATATAAAATGACAGCTGAATAATGAATTACCCGTATGTTATACAAAACACACATATATAAAATGTGACAGAACATAAATTAAAACATATATAAAATTTGATATACTGTCACTGTAATTTGTTTTCACATTATTAATAATTAGAATACATTATAAATGTGATTTTTATATTATTCTTATTATTATAAAATTAACAAATTTTGCTCATACAACAATATTTGATTGAATGAAATATATATTTTTTATACTATTAGTGTATTCAAATTAAATATTCTAAAAAATAATTAAAATATAAATTTAAAATAAAAATAAGTGTTTTAAACTATAAATTAAAATTAATTCAATTATTAAATATTGTTTTAATTATAACTTATCCCATTATCTCTATTAACTTATAAATATGTCTTATAATACTGTCATCAACGGATTTTGCAGGCAAGGGTTCATGCAATGCAGGAGGCTATTGGAGTTCTCTCAAAGATGACCATTAATGGGATTTGATCAACATTTCTCATGAGGGCGTGTTTGGAGTTGTGATTTTGTGCGGATTATCTGCGAGGATTGAATGGTAAGGTAGGAGTTTATGTAATGTGATTCTCTCATGCTTACTTTGTTGAGAGTTTAGAAGAGAAAAAAAGAAAAAATAAAAAAATTAATACAAAATTCTCAAATTAAAAAAAGTTGAAAAATGAGATTACCAAAGTTTTCGAAAGTTTCTCTTATCTAAAACATCTTAAACAAGGATAACGATCACAAAAATGTGACTATCTTTATTTATTTCTTTTTTAAAAACTAACTCCCAAATGGCTTAAGATTCTTATCATTTTTTAATTTTTTTTACCATGTCTCTTAACTCTAAAAGAAGCAGCTTTTGTAGAATCGTTCTTCCGGGCATCTTTTCACTCTCTCTTTGGGTTTCTGTTTTGTTAATATCTTGGTTTATGCATCAAATCTAGTCCTTTTGGTAATTCCAGTTGTCCTATAAAGTTAATATCAAATTAATCTAGAAATATATAATTTTTTTCTTTCATTTTTGTTGTTTATTTTGGTCCGAGTTTTTAATCTTTGCACGTGCTAGATGTTGAATGCACCTATCTATGAGAATAAGTTCCTTTTTTTTTTGTTAGATGTTGAATGCACCTAACACAAAACACACAAGTATTGGTATATTTGTTTCCTCTGGTGAAGTAAATAGCATTCAACCGAAACTCTTGCACAAAGGTTAAAGTTCTTTATGCATCCTGTCAGACAAGAAAAACATATTGGCATGATATGAAATATAAATGTATTGTCTACTAATTGTTGACGGACTCAGAAAATCTAAAAACGTTGGTGAAACAAACTGGAAAAGCTCCATGCATGATGTTTCGATTATATATCATCATCAGTCATTGTCAACACACCTTGTTTGTGGTCATCAAAATAATTTATATGATTGGCATATATACTACTAGTATGGTCCATACACAACATCAGATTCACGGAAAGATAACATAGTCCAACTACTAAACCTATAACATAAAACACATTACCAGCTTATCAGAAAAATCCAAAAAGCCAAAGGTTACCTGAGGAGTGCTATGGCAATGGTGGTGCTGTCTGATTGTAGATAATCCATACACAAGTCAGAACTGATGCGGGAAATTTTTAGTGTGGATGCACTGGCTGCTTCAATGCTTGATTTCCATATAAGAGCTACACAACTTGAACATGCAAGGGATTGCTGTAAGCAATTTTAGTTCTTGATAAAGATAAGTTTGTCCTTTAAATATGAACCTCCCCATTAGTCTTTGCCATACCAATCACCACATGTCATTAAGAAAACTTGCATCATTGCGCCTGAATAAAGGTATGTGTTTAAGATCTGATAGCAGAGTCTTTAAATTGTCAGATATACATGTAAAACCAATGCCAGAAGTAAGACACCAAAGCAGAATATGGAAGGACAATTGGCACATTTATTGTTGGAAGCTTAAGGTGATTCAGTGTTGAAGAAGACTGCTTAATGGTCTCTTTAGATATAATGTTTGTATCAGTTTAAATTGATATTCTGTTGAGAAGTTCCATATAAAATATCATATTTCTTTGTTTCAAAACATGATAGCCAAACACAATTACGCATTAGAGAAATGTTAGTAATTTTCTTTCCAACATGCTTTTTAGTTATTACTTGAAATTCATGCTGGTCTCAGGCCTTATTCAGTGGCTCCTGATCCCAATTTACTGTGTTCCACCTGTCAACCTAACAAAGAGCGTATTAAAAAGAGTACGTCACCCACCATAATACTGGCATTTCTCTTACATATTACACAATTCACAGATTGCAAAAGCAATTTTATGATTTAGTTAAATGTCATTTTTGTGGTTGCTTGGTAAGAAGATAACTAATACACGCGCCCGCCAGCACAGAATAAATAGAGAGAGAAAGAGAGAGAGTTAACTTGTGAACAATGGTGAGGCTAAGTATCAGAATCAACTCTATTTAACTTTCAGCATTCTATGGTTCATTTATGAATACAATAGGATACTAATCTCCAGCTGCGCGCCAAGAGCAGATAAAGAATAGAAGAATATGGTGCTTGGCAACAAGAATCATGATTTCTTCAGCCGAATATAACAAGTGAATAACTTTAACCCTTTGGTTCCGTTTAGATAAAAATGACTAGATCTTTGTCTAGGATTTGTTTGATTGCTATTTGATGCTTCTTAATTAAACCACTGCTGAAAAATGAATAAGTACTTTGAATATAATTATGGGCTTTTAGACTCGTCAGTTATTCATGTTATGGTATTTTAATTTGTTTGCACATTTCTTAATTTGTTGAAACCTGAAAGCTTCAATTCTTTTCAAATAGATTAGCTGAGTAATATGAGCAACAGTAATTCAAACAACTGAGTTCTAATTCTTTATGTGGACCGTTGATGGATGCTGACGTTGAGGGAACAAAAAGAGAGAGCAAATTGAATGGTGATGGTGTTTAGAGTAAGGAAAATTTTCTAAATTATAAAAAATAGATTATGTTCTTTTAAAGAGATTTGGAGAATCGTAGAGTCTCTTTCAAGGTCATATTTTGAACAGTTTTAATAGAATATAAAGAAACTCATTTTTTGTAAAAAAATAGGATAGACAAAAAAATAATTCTAAGTCCACAAGACCAAAGGCTTTTTCAATCAGTTTTTGAAAATTTTCTAGTCTATAGACTAAAAATAACTAAAATTAGTAAAAAAAAAAGACTGACAAGAAAATTATTCTAAGTTCATAAGACAGAAAGTCTTTCGAGGAGTTTTTGAAGATTTTCAAGTACCTAACACCAAAAATTGCTCAAAAAACAAGAAGTAATAAGAAAAATATTCCGAGTTCATAGGATTAAAAGTGCTCTCAGATTTCTCATAAAATTAGTCAAAAAGTATAAATTGAGGGAGAAATTATTCCAAGTCTACAAGACTGAATGAGCTCTCAGATTTCTCTTAAAATTGCTCAAAAAATAGGAAATTGCAAGAAAAATCAGTTGAAGGTTCAAAACACAAAAAAAGATTGTGGGCGATAGCAGTTATGAAAGAAACCACAATGTTAGCACGATCAGAAGTAGTCATGAATAATGGACAGTAACAATTGAAGACAAACACGTATAGAAGGCAGTTACTGAGGAGTGCTTGCGAAAAGAAGAGAACAATGGTGGTCTATTTTCCTATAAATACTACAAAACATTATTTTTTAAATGACGACTTTTTACACCCAGATACTGCACAAAAACTCTCTGCACGCTAAAATTTTACACCGATCCAGACACCAACTATTAAAAAACTTATGGTAGTTATTGTTTATTGCTAAGAGTCGTACATTTACAATTTACAGTTTAATTCTAATTTATTTACTTCTTGTTCATTTTACATTATTTATTTTTGCAATTATGTCTTTGTTTAGTGCAATTCTATAAACTCTCTTATGTTCAATTTAAATTGCTTTTTGTTTCATCATTATTTTACTATTTCTACTTAAGTTCACACTTTGCGATGTTAATTTGAATCATTACGTTAATAACACATTTAAAAGCATAAAATTTAATTTTTAAATTATTTTTAGATTTATTTATTTACAACCTATGAATTTTTACCCTAATCAAATGCACAACCGATAAAAAATATAAAGGTAGGCTTAATTGAGATGAGTTGAGTGAGATTAAATTATTGGGAATAGTGACCTATTTGATCATAATTCCATGTAGGGGAAGAAATTGTAAGAGAGAGAGAGGGGGGGGGGATATTTTGCTCCAACTATATATATATTCCTGTAGGGTGTTGCACTGTCCCATCACGCATGTGATCGCATATGCAAGGATTAATTTTGCATTAATTTATAGGGACAGCTCCATGAAGAAAAAAATGGCCCCACGCACCATTTTATGTGCTTCCCTTTTCAATTGTGACAATAGAATGGAAATAAATAACAAATTAATGGAAATAATCAAATTCAACAAACTATGAAATCTATACTAAAGCAATTTCTACCAAAAACTAGCGAGTAAAACTATTTTGCTATGACTAGTGCAGTGTTCTTGATTTAAACGACTACTAGAAGTATTGAACATAGCATTCTAAGTATGTGACTTTAACTAATTTAATTAGTTGCACCACTTGAAGAGATTTGTATTATGTTTAATTTCATGTTAGAATCTAAGTGGATTTTCATTTACTTAGATGCTCCTAGTTGTAATTTTCATATTAAATTTGTTGAAAAACTTTTTAACGTGCTTTTAAACATGCACTTAAGCATTCATAAATCATAACAAAGGCTTTTAAAATCATCATCAGTTGCTCGCTTTTTTTTAGGTAAGTCACTGACTACTAGCTCCTACTTTAAATGGTTTATTTGTGCCCTACGGTTTTGCATGGACCCCGAATCAACGATAGAGGAAATATAAAATATGGAATAATCAAATGGAAAGTTCATGTTGATCTTTTTATGTAAAGTGTGTGTCCTTACTCATAAATGTTTGCAAACATGTGACATTGAAATAGGCCACGAGGGCAGTACGACGAAAGAGTTATGGTTTTGACTTAATATACGTACATGCTCGAGAAAATGACAAAACAATATATGTATATACACACACATGCGAATACACCAAGTACTTGAATACGAAATTATAAAATCAATTAACCAACACACTCAGAGATAACAACATATTGGATAACGTGGCCGTTTTTTTCTTCCAAAAACATAACCAGATAAAAAGTAAAAAAACAAAAGGTGCCTTTTAAAAACAACTCCAATAGATTAATTCAATGGACTATATAATAAGGTTTCGTGTTCAACAAGTGATCAATTTTTTCACTGTAATGTAAGACGCATGGGAACCTTCAAATATTTTTTAAGTTCATCTTAAACTAAAACACAAGCTTCTTGTATATATATATATATATATATATATATATATAGACACACAGACACACATATTTTTAAAGTTTAGAATGGTTACGAATTCATTTCATGAGGGAACCCCGAAAATTCTAGGATCCCAGTTTTCTTTGAATCAAAATGAAAGCATATATATTTTTTTGAACATTTAGTGAGCTATCAAGCACACATCCTATTTGATGGGGGCAATGTCCCCTTGCACATCGAATCAATCCTTGTAGATAATACTTCTCTTCAATAATCTCAAGCAGTGGAGCGTGATGGTGGTGTTACCTGCAAAAGTACGCTAACGTACAAGTTGGTATAATTTTAAGTGAAATAATATTGAAGAAAAATGATACTTATTTGAATGAGTTGAATTTGGGCTTACATAGGGCAAAAGTGCAACTGAATCTCTATCCTATGTTTGGGGTCATCTTTCATTGTCATCTTAATAGATTTTTCTTAAAGTGGACTCTACTAATAACACTCCACAAGAATATTTCAAAAACATGCACAGTAGTCATGCTCTCATTAACTTGACCCTTTTAGATGAAGTATACCCACTTAATACGGCGGATGTAAACCCAACTGTAATTAAGTTTTTTTTTTAAAATATCTTAACCATGTTGGCTAGGTCAAAACATTATTCTTAAACACACAAATAGTCTTACTAACAATTAAGTTTTAGAAAGTTGTACTATTTGGTTACAAAGAAACATGGAGTCTCTAATTACTAATATGAAGAGAAAAATGATATAAAGTGTGTTAATTTGTCTTTCAAGTACAACCCAATAAAGCATTAACCTTCACAACGTAAAAAATAACATCACTTTAAACACTCTTGTCCTGTTCCAAGAGCGTTTGTTTTAAAAGGAAGAGAAGGCACTTGATCCCCATGACTTGACTTGTTTGGTTTCCAATTGATACGAAACACAGCACGTTTTGAACGAATTAAAAATCAAATAGAAGCTGGACAAAAAATGTTAAAGATCGGTGCTAACTTTTGCAAAGGCTGCAATAGCATGTGACACAACCAAGTTTCACAGCTCTTAGAAGTACTGGGTGTTTGGTACTGAAAATTATGGTTCATAAAAACAGTACTACACAGAACGGATTCCGTATGCTTCAGGGCTAAACCACAGAGAGTAAAATACAAAGCAACACAATGAGAGGGTACATTTGGTATTCCAGTACAATTCATTATACTACCCAACCCTTAACTTTCGGAGTCACTAGGAATTACGTTTGTTTCCACACTCACAAGATCAAATTCTCTCCATGGCCACATGTAGGATCACTTGTGCATGCCCACTTTTTCCTTAATGCATTATTTGAATAATACAAAATAAATTTAAAATAATATTAAATAAAATTTTTTAAATGACTTGTTTTTATAAAAAAAATTAATTTTGTTTATCATTAATAACTTTTTTTTGTATTTAAATCTCATTCTAAGTGTATTTGATTATTGTTTTTATATTTTTAAAATATTAATATTTTTTTATCAATAAAAGCATAACAAAATAAAATAAAATTTAGTTGTATAATTTATTAAAATAAAATTTATTTTTTTGGTAATTTCTAGTTACTTGCTTCAAATATTATTTTAGTCTTTAATGAAGGTGATGAAAAAAAAATGTTGATTTATATTATTTTGATTAAGATTTTGGAGAGGTGAAGAAAAAGGATGGGAAAGTGTACAAAAGGGTAAGTGTCGGAACAAAAATAGAAGAAACCTAGCAGAAAAAATTGGCCAGATTTTTCCAACAAACCAAAGGCGGTGGCACTTGTATGTGGAAGAAAGAACCTCTTTCTTAAGTTAATTACCAAACGCAGCTACGCCACTCGTTTTATGCCTCACCCTCTTTATTCTTCTTCTTCTTCTCTTTGGTCGTTCTTGGATTGATTCAGGTGATGGTGTATGGGTTGAAGGAATTGAGATTGTTTCCGGAATGGAGTGGGACAGCAATTCCGATCTGAGCGGTGACGAAGAGGAAGGATTCCTACTCAACGATGCAGATTCCCCTCTCCCTTTTCCCTTTCCCGTTCAAAACCTTCTCCAAACGGCACCGTGTGGCTTCGTCGTCACCGATGCGCTTGAACCTGACCACCCTATTATTTACGTCAACACCGTTTTCGAGATGGTTACCGGTTACCGGGCCGAGGACGTTCTCGGTCGCAATTGGTCAGTTTCCTCTTCCTGCTTGTTTTCAATGCTAGGTTTAGGTTTGGCTCTTTTTTCGCGCCGTGTTTCTCAGGCTGTTTGTTTTGCATGCTGTGAGGTGAGGAGGATTTGTTTAAGTCAATTGTGTTGGAGTGAGATTTGCTAGGAAATGGATATACTCTGTTTTGATTATGCTAAGGAGGTGATTTTGCTGCTGTTGTGAGTGTTGATTAACGAGAGATATTGAACTTGTGCTTATGGTCATTCTTGTAGTCCGGATAGTTTTTAGGGATTTCTTTGTTTCTGTATGATGAGTGAATCTCGTTGCTTTTTTGTACTGTGGAGTGAAGGGCTGGGAATCTGAACAGACTGAACTGAAGGCTGTAGGATGCTTTGGGTATCAGAGGTGTTCGAATGACTTATACTTGCTAATATGTATGATCTGGAATTACAGTGTGTTATCTGCAAAGGTTTAATGTTAATGTCCTATTCTTTTCATAGGTTCAAAATTATCCTTCCTTAAATTAAATTTCTTACAAAAATTGTGAGCATTGCCTTGACTGTGTTTGGAGCTTGTATAGATAATATTTCTGGATATTTTTGGGCCTATAAACAAGTGTTTGGTTTTTCATGGTTGATACCGTAGGCAAGGGTGTAGACTTGTTAGGATCCACACATACTTGATAGAATATATATCTTCTGCTCTGATCAGGATTAAGTCAATTACAAGCACATGATGAGGTCAGATTGTTAGGATACACTCAGGTTATGTTGAGAATATGTGGGAGATTATGAAAAATTTGATGAAAAATTCATCCATACTATGGACATCGTGAAGTGTGATGTGATGGCAGATGATGTAAACAACGACCAACTGCATTGCCGCATTGGTGTTCAGGGGATTATGAGAAATTAACCTAATGGTGAACATGATAAGATATCAAACGGTATTTTTTTTCCGCCATGTGTTAGAATTTTTTTGAATCAAATGAATTCTAAAACTCCACCATTCGTGAACCACTGTTAAGAAGAGATGGTTGAAATACAAATATGGTCAGTCTGGAATTTTTTTTTGTGGAATATAGAAGTATACCAGGTCTTCATGTATCAAAAGTCTTAGGATTAGGCTGCTTGTATATTGGAAGCTTTTGAATGGCTAATACTGAGATGGATGTTCACATATGCTACTGGTTTTGACAGTGGAATCCAGTGTTTTAGGGCTGGCCTCATTACTGTATTCTGATGAACTGTTATTTTTCATCACTGAACAAATGATTCTTTATGGGGAGGATCTCAACCCATAGTTATCAATAGTAGGCTATAGCGGCGTTACAGCTGAATAGTGGATCGGAGCAGCCATAGACCACTATAAAACATGAATAGCAGCTGTAGCACTGCCATAGTGGCATTGGAGTAAAACTTGAAAAAAAAATTCATTTTTTTCCTTATAAAAAACTGCTTTGGGGGATTTTTATTTTTATTTTTCACTTTTATTGTTATTGTTATTTACTTGTATGTTTGATATTCTAGTATGTTTCATTTGTCCTATTGCTTGCAGTGAATCAATGATTCTTTGATTAAAATTTCAATTTCATCCCTAGGTTAGTTAGCGTCAAATATTTTAGTTTCTAAAATTTTAAAAATATTATGTTAGTCCTTGACTTTCAACTTGCATTTTAGTCTTTAGATCCAGACATTATCAATAGACAGTAATAAAATGCTAAAGTAACATGTATAATTGATTAAGTGATAAAAAAGACGTCATATATATAGTTTGTGTTTTCATTTCATTTTAGTCTTTAAGATTGTCACCTACTAGATATTTTAGTCCTTAACAATGACTACACTAAAGACTATCTCAATCTAAGGAAAGCATTTGAAGATCTTCAATCTCACTCTTTCTTTCTCTCTCTCTCTCCTCTTATGGTCTGACCTCGATTCACACTTTACTTCGCTTCACTAATCCTCACCACTGCTTCAACCTTCTCACATCGCTCAAACAATCACATTCCTAATCCCAAACCAAAACCCTAACCTCAATGTCTGACCTAACAGACCAAACCCCAAAAGAAGTGAACGTTGTTTCAAGCTGGTTTGTGCCTAGGTAAGAGCGCTGGACCCCAATGAGAGATGATTCTAGAAGCATTGGAAGAGTTTCATAGGAAAGGTAATGGGTTGAAAGATGGGGAATTGAGGAAGAGTTGTATTATCTTGCTGAAGCAATTCAAGAAAAGTTTCATGGGTTGTTCTAGCTTCCCCTAAGGTCTCACTTTTGGGGCTATAAAAACTAGATTTTGAAGAAATGATTGCCTATTTTTGGCTATTTTTTGAGATTTCTTGAAAAATAAGCTTTTTTTTTTTTTTGGCGCACATCATTTTGAATCTGCAGCGGATTTTTGAAGGAGTGTGGTTGTAGAAGCTTGGATTATTTAGATGGGTAACCAAGTAAGTTCCAATCTAAAACATGCCCCTCTTCTTGAAATATTGACAAAGATAAAACATAACCACAAGAGGTAAAATTGCAAAGGAAGATGATGGTGGAAAGGGAAGGAGAAGATTTGAAGGTTTGAACAGTGAAACAATGTCTTTTTGCCAACTCAGCTTTCACCTTTATTATTTAACGTGACATATCAGCATTTTATTACTGTGTATTGATAATATATAAGTCTAAGGACTAAAATGTCCGAAGAGATGGGATTAAGGGCTTAATGTGACATATTAAAAATTTCAAAGACTAAATTATTCGATGCTTATTATCTCAAGGACCAAAATGAGGGAGGGTTTAGTTGTGATTCTTTTGATTATTATTTCTTAATTTTTGTAGGGTCAATGATGCATTTACATTGTTTTGTTGTGGGTACTTGCAACTGATCAAGTACTATCGTGTCTATGATTGGTTGCAGTGTCATTAAATGCATAATAGTATTAGTTTGTTAAGCTATTATTATCTCTTAGTAAGTACTTTGTTATATTAAATTTCGGCTTTGAATCCTCCTTGGTGGGAGAGCTATGTGAGGATTTTCAGTGAGGGGTCTCCTCTCCAACAAAGTCAATGAAGCATATTTCCGTTTAAAGCCTCTTCTTGGACTAGTATGGAAAGCACCATTTGTTTTTAATAGCAGAGTCCAATGGGGAAGATTTATCTCCATTCCCAAAAGGAAGTTCTAGCATAGCTTTCACATTGTAGGATCACTTCAATTGTTCTTATTGGGATGGACCCCTTAATATTCAGTTGGGGCATCTATGTGTTGCTCACTTTTCTTATTCTTGCCTTTTGAAAGGATCACCAGCTCTAAAGTTGGTATATTATTTTCTATTGATTAGAAATGAATTATAAGTGGTTGAATTCCAATGCTTGATGTTAGGACAAGATTTTGTATCCTGCTAAAAGTTTATCATTTCTGCCCCTCCCCACTTTCTTTGAGTCTTCAGGCTCTTGTTTATAGGGCAAGCAAGTGATGTGTCTGAAGCATACTTTGCCACATACCTCTATATAAGGAAAAATAAGTAGAAGAGGTATATAAGAAAACAAGAGATATGTGCTGGCCTTTTAGCATGTTTCTTACTTTGTTAAGTCTCTATCAGTCTATTGCTTGTTAGTTCTGATTCAAAGTGATTTTGTTTTAATCATTTCAAAATATTTTGCAGCCGTTTCTTGCAGTGTCGAGGTCCTTTTGCTAAGAGAAGGCATCCATTGGTGGACTCAACTGTAGTGTCAGAAATTAGAAGATGTCTTGAAGAGGGGATTGAATTCCAAGGTGAGTTGCTGAACTTTAGGAAAGATGGATCTCCTCTGATGAACAGATTGCGGCTGACACCTATTTATGGAGATGATGAGACTATAACACATGTCATTGGAATCCAGTTCTTCACAGAGGCAAACATTGATCTTGGTCCTGTTCCGGGTTCTACAATTAAGGAATCTGCTAAATCATCTGATCGATTTCATTCTGTGCTTTCTCCATTGCGTCCTGTTCCAGCGGGGGACCGGAATGTATCACGAGGAGTTTGTGGGATATTGCAATTGAGTGATGAGGTACTGTCTCTCAAGATACTTGCTCGATTAACTCCTAGAGATATTGCATCAGTTAGCTCAGTCAGTAGAAGATTGTATGAGCTGACAAAAAATGAAGATCTCTGGAGAATGGTGTGCCAAAATGCGTGGGGCAGTGAGACTACAAGTGTTTTAGAGACGGTGCCTGGTGCAAGGAGACTTGGATGGGGTCGGCTAGCAAGGGAATTGACCACTCTTGAAGCAGCCACATGGAGGAAGTTGACTGTTGGAGGTGCTGTTGAACCCTCGCGCTGTAATTTTAGTGCTTGTGCTGTTGGTAATAGAGTTGTCCTATTTGGTGGTGAAGGGGTTAACATGCAACCTATGAATGACACCTTTGTATTGGATCTCAATTCTAGTAATCCTGAGTGGCAACACGTCCAGGTAAGCTCTCCTCCTCCTGGCCGTTGGGGCCACACACTTTCATGTGTTAATGGTTCTCATTTGGTTGTATTTGGAGGCTGTGGAAGGCAGGGGTTGCTGAACGATGTGTTTGTTCTGGACCTGGATGCAAAGCCTCCAACATGGCGTGAAATTTCTGGATTGGCACCTCCACTTCCTAGATCATGGCATAGCTCTTGTACTCTTGATGGCACTAAGTTGATAGTTTCTGGGGGATGTGCAGATTCTGGAGTACTCCTGAGTGACACTTTCCTCCTTGATTTGTCAATGGAGAAGCCTGTTTGGAGAGAGATACCAGTTGCATGGACCCCACCTTCTCGTCTGGGCCACACATTGTCTGTTTATGGTGGTAGGAAAATACTTATGTTTGGGGGTCTGGCCAAGAGTGGGCCCCTGCGATTTCGTTCCAGTGATGTATTCACAATGGATTTAAGTGAGGAGGAACCTTGTTGGAGATGTGTAACAGGGAGTGGCATGCCTGGTGCTGGAAATCCTGGGGGCATAGCTCCTCCTCCTAGACTTGATCATGTTGCTGTTAGTCTTCCAGGTGGAAGAATTCTGATATTTGGTGGGTCTGTTGCAGGTCTTCACTCTGCCTCTCAGCTATACATTCTTGATCCAACTGATGAGAAGCCTACATGGAGAATCCTAAATGTACCCGGTCACCCTCCAAGATTTGCTTGGGGACATAGCACGTGTGTTGTTGGAGGAACAAGAGCTATTGTACTGGGTGGTCAAACTGGGGAGGAGTGGATGCTAAGCGAGCTCCATGAACTTTCTCTGGCGAGTTCTGTCATCTAATCCAGTAAATAAACACTGCTGTAGTGAAGGGAATACTATATGGCTCTGCTTAAAATTGTGAAATCAATTTGAGCATAAGTTGGCGGGAAAGATTGTATTGGTCACTAACTCGACAAGCATTGCTCTGGTCAGAGCGTGTGTATTAAGTTGTTACCACATTGCGTTTGCTTGTATGGTTGGTTCTGACTGGAGAAGAACTTCTCATTGAGTGACACGAGACAATGTTTTTTGTGAGGTTGTGTGAGACTATACCCTTCAGTACGCATAATGAATTATTCTTCCTGAATAGATTACTAGTGGTAATATATTAGGGTAGTTTCTCACTTGATTTCCCATGTGTTTTGTTCAAATTCTGTAATTTGAACCACGACAAAGGAGAGAAAAAAGGAAAAAAATACCATTGTATGTTCAGTCCCGTAATTAGGTCTACTATATTTTCTGGAAAACTCTACTGCTAATCTATGCTTCTTAACACGGGTGATCTGACAGTTCTGGAAGGCTAAATCAATGTAGTGGAACAGGTATGCCTGAAAAACTTTGTATATTGTTTGTTTATTTATTTAGATAGTGGATAGTTAATAGGATTGTACTTTATATCGTTGTCGGCGGGAATGTAGGGCAAGCTGGGTTTCTGTTGGATTTCATTCTATTGGCGGAACAAAAATTCCTCATGGTATCAAGTTTTTGTAACAGCACCTCTGCATGTTTTTTCAGAATCTGGCAACGTCACCGACATTTTTTAAATATATTTCTAGAATAAAAAAACGCTTCCAAACATGTACCAATTATCCTTACTTGTATGTTTGATACCTTTCGTTTGAGTTATATGTAAATTTTGTTATGTTTTAAGATTGAGTAAGTTACAATTTTAAGTCTCTTAGGGGTAGATTAATTTTTTATCATACGCATGATGCTTATTTTAATTTACTCATATTAGATTTATTTTATTTTTTTAATTAGATTGTTACTTGTAAAATAATTTATTTCGACCTTATCATATCTTCTTGTCAGTATACTGTAACCTCAAAAGAACTTATCATATCGTTTTTAAAGTATTTAAGTATTGCATCGAATATCGATAACAAATTTTTTAAAATTACTGTACATAAAATAGAGAGCGATTTGGTTTAAAAATATTTTTATTTTTATTACTTATTTGTCATAATATTTTTATTTTACTTTTATCTTAATTGACTTGGACTTTAACTAGCCATATATTTTTATTTTTTTATTCTTAAAAAATTATGCAGTAGTAATGCAAATAAAAAATGTTTTTTCAATCTAAACGGTTTCGAATATTTATAATTTAGTTTTCTTTTTCCATTTGCCTTAACATTTTTTTTAATGTTATGACTTCCACTCGTAAGAACTACATAAACGATAGACAATAGATATTAAATTGAAAATAATTAAATGTATATAAAATAAATGGAAAACATTTTTTTATATAAAAGATCAAACTAAAATGAGTATCGTGCAACAATTAAAATATATTTTGACCAAAAAAATTTATCGTCAAAATGATTTTGATAATTGCATAATATTTTTAAATACTAAAATTATTTTTCTCAAAAAGTTAAAAAAAAGTTGAGGAAAAACTCCTTGAAGAAAACCTCTTGAAATTTGTTCACAGCTGATGGTTTGAATAGGAGGAGATACTGCGCGGGGCATCACTGTCTGATTAAAAAAGCTTATAACTGAAAAGTATCGACGAATAGTGCTTGAAGTTTTTCCATTACTACTACTTTGTAAATGGCTTTATTATGACAATAAAGTTAATTGCTTTAATGTAACGCAGTAATAAATACATAAATAAGAAATAAAAAAAATAAACGTAGAGTTGGGAGAAAGAAAGGAATGGAAAGCGAGTACAGTAGAGTAGAGAGAGAGAGAGAGAGAGAGAGAGAGAGAGAGATAAGAAGAAAAAAGATCGAAATCCAAACCAACTTATCACTCAGTTCTTTCACTCTCCCCCAAACCAAAATGCCGATCAACAGCGATTCTACGCCGCCTCCTGTGATCGGCAAAATCGGGCCTTACACAGTTTTCATGACCCCACCATCTACTCCCAGTCCCAAACCCTCCTCCGACCCCATTATTCATTCTCCCAATAAGATCGTTCCTCCGCCGCCGCAGATTCCCAAAACCCCTCTCTCCCCCAAACCCCTCTCCGATGCCTCACTTTCCACCTTCTTCAAAAACGCTGTCACTAAGGTCCAAACAGGTACCTACCCACTTTACTCTCTTCATTTCTTAGGTTAGCTTCTCTCTCCTTTCCCCCAAAGCAAAACCATATACCTCGCTATTATACATATATTATAATAAATGTAAAATCCATGTCGTTTTTTATTATTGGAATTTTCAATTCAGCTGTTCAAAAGTCTGACTCCAATAATATCTATTTTTAGAAATACCTTCATCTCATCTCTGAAAATATATATCACTCTCTGACTCAGTCTTGTGGGATTCTTTTCCTTTTATATTTTTTTGATACAAGGATTCTTCCTAGGGTTCGTTGTGCTCACATTTTCTTCTCTCTTGTCCTATTCTCTTTCGTTCCAATTTTTGTAGTCGAACCAATATTTACCACTTTTTAAACTTGTTTCCCGTTTTTTAAGTTTCATATGTTTTTATTCTTCATAAATATATATAATCTTTTTGGGCTATGGAAATTGCTGCATTAAGTAACTTTGTATATACCCATTCTTCTCCGTTTCACTAAGTTGTGGCTGGGTATTTTATCATAACACCGCATGTTGTGTTTTTCTAATTCTAGTAAAGGAAATAAACGGATCTAAGTAATTGTTCTGTTACTTATGTATGTGGAATGGTTTTCAATCTTGATGCGGTATTGTACTGTCTCTTTCTAGTGTCTTGGATTTCACAAGAATCTATGAATAAGCATGTATTGTCCCTCTTTGGTTGAGGTTTTGGATCATGTTTATTCTTCTAAGTAAATGCCCATTACCTTTCCTTTTACAGCCCATTCAAGTTTGGATGATCATCTGGCACGTTGGTTTGGATTGAATCAGTCAAAGTATCAGTGGGCTCTTGATGATTATTATGAGACCAAAGGAATGGTAAGCAACTGACTGATACTAATTATGTGAACTTTCTGGTTGTGCCTCTGCTAGTCTCCAAAACATGCCAGCGGCACCTTGTTGACAGGATTGGAATGTCATTCCCTTCCTACTACATTTTGTGTATATTAAAAAAAAAAAAGAGTATCTTTTCTTTTATGATGCCACAGTAAAGTACTGAGAAAATTTTGCTTGTGGTCTCAATGTTTTGTGATTTATATTACATGCAATTGCTTTATTTGTGGGGTTAATAAACCACTGTGCTATTTGAGAAAGGAATAACTGAGAGTGGGCTTTGGTCTGAGTTTGTCAAAGGTAAAATAGTATTTGAAGTCAAGTCTGTCGTTTGGTCACATGCGTTATGTGCAAGTCACTGTAAAAGTTACAAGTTGAATCTGAAATAAACATTTTAAGTAAGGGGTAATGGCCTCTTCCCTGGTTCTTTAAAATTTATGTAATGATTATTATCATTATTGTTCTTATTCGTCTGTTCGATTTATGAATACACCAAATTGAAGTCTTATAAAACTTGAATTGATGTGTTACAATTTGGAGTCTGGTGAAAGTTTCTAGAGAGATGAGGAGTTTGTGGAACATAATAGGCTCTCTTTTTGTGGATACTTATCCACATTGCTGCCCTTTATGGTGTCAATTTATTATGGATTCTGTTATGAAGGCTTACTTTCTTTATCCCTGAACATAGCAATGTCTACTTCCAATACTATGTGTTGAACAATTAATGACAGTGATTTGGGATCTTGACCTTTCTGATTAAGAGTATATGCCTTTCTTTCTAGGGATTTTATTTTACTACTAAATGTGTCGCTATCTGGTGTACATAATCAATCCCCCCTCTCCTACAATTTGAGTTGTAAAAGAATGAAAGATTTTAACTGATATGATATATCCTCCCTGCTTCAATAACAAGTTTGAATTTTGTGTGTTTTTGCTTTTGAAAGTTTGATGCGTGTTGACTGTAGGAAAAAGGAGACATAAAAGTGAAAGAAATATCAAGCAAAGTACAGAGTGTTTGACTTGCTTAGAGCTGGTGGTAATACTACCTTTGTTTTGCAATATTTGTTATCCTTGAATTGCAAGAAGGATCTTTTAACTTGGCGAATGGTATCATTATGCAGGATTAATCAAAAGCGAGGCATGAAGACTCTTGCTTTGAGTATATTTATACCTTTTGTATTTACATGTGGAGTAGAACAAATGCGTCTGATATGTCAAAGAGTTATTTGATCTACATCCATTGATCTGATTCAATGGTTATTTTGCGACTCCTGCAGTCGAGTCTGATTATTTGGCAGTCTGTTCCTGTAATCTAATTATCAAGTTATTTTCTGGGGCAAATGTTTTGTTCTTAGTTTCAGTCGTGCTTTTGGGCTTCTGAATCTCGGAGCTGTTTTGTATTTGTACTTGGTTAAGGGAAAAAATTGACAGTTGCCTTCTCATGATGATTATCTTATCTTTTTATTTGCCTTATGAATTCCATAAATAGGTGAGTACGAATACTAACACAGAGACATCATTCTCATCGTCAATATCATCTTCGAATAGTAATTTTGAGAAACGACTAATCTTAACGGTTGTAGCCAGATGGTCGGTTTCTAATTGTCTCTCTCTCATCCATAATTCAATTTTACAAAAAATTAGAAGATTGCTGGCCTTCAAAATAACAAGGTACAACAATCTGGGTAAATGAGATTTTAGACCGATGCTAGATTTGGAGAAAATTGCATATAATTAGGAGGGATGCATTTACCTTGTTTTGCAACTAATATCAAATATCCTAGATGCAATATTTTTTTCAAGCGATAATTATTAGTGTAAAGATTTTCCTTTTAATTTGTTAGTTGTCATATCACGGATCCAGTCATAAATTTAGTGGACTAGAGTGTCACTTTCTTTTACTAATGGCATATGCCTCTAATTTCCGGAACAATGATCTTCGGCACATGGTACTAGAAAAGTGAGAATCTAATGTGTGTTTTGTTTTACGCACGCCTTGTTTGCCGTGTTGCAATTGCAAGTTTCGGTAATGCATCATGTATCCTCTTCCATGTCACTATTTCTTCTGTGGAGGAGTATTTTATTTATTTTTATGTAACACTACGGTTTATTAATGAAGTCCCATATTAGCAAAACGTGTCAACAAACTTTATATATTAAGCAATAGATAGATGGGTTGTGCAGAAAGTAAGCGCGAAACTTTAGTTTATAATTTTTCTACAGACAGAACACATCTTTTGGGCCGGCTAAGCTATTTTAAAAACCATTTACTAGTTATTGGACTTGGGATCTCTGGTCAGTGGTGAAAGCTTGAAGGATTTCTTATATATAGAATCTTCTCGCTTGTCTTTTGTATCCACCTTTCATGGGAATTCAACAATTTTGCATCTTTCTTCGCTTTATTGTTGCTTGCCATTAGTTTTAAATATCCACATTTTCTTGCTATAGTCTTGATTAATGCTACTTATGGAGATGGAAGTGCCAGCAACAACTTGGCAGGCTATTGCTCTTGTAGTAAGCTTCGGTAGAATCTTTAATTTGTTTTTTTTTTCTTCTTCATACGTCTACCCTTTTTAGATCACAGGATTTCTGACTAAAGTATGACATATATTGCAGTTGGATTTTTTGTGACCATAATTACTATGGTTTTGGTATGCCGAAGATTGGCTCACATAGGTAGCAATAGCATGTCTGCTAGATCAGGTTCTGAATTTCCCACATTCAACATGGACAAATTTCTAAACGAAATGGAAAAGGAGAAGCCATTGAAATTTACCTCTGAGCAGCTAAGATTTGCAACTAACAACTTTTCTAACAAGTTGGGGAATGGGGCCAGTGGTGCAGTTTATAAAGGAAGCTTTAGTAGTGGAACCATTGTGGCTGTGAAGGTTCTACATGGGGATTCTGATAAGAGAATTGAGGAGCAGTTCATGGCAGAAGTCAGCACTATTGGAAGGGTTCACCATTTAAATCTAGTTCAACTCTATGGATTTTGCTTTGAAAGACATCTGAGGGCTCTAGTTTATGAGTACATGAGCAATGGCTCTCTTGTTTGTTTCATGAAAACAAGACCATAAGATTTGGAAAGATTCATGAGATTGCAATTGGGACTGCTAGAGGCATTGCTTATTTGCATGAAAAGTGTCAGCAAAGAATCATTCACTGTGACATAAAGCCAGGTAACATTCTCTTGGATGAGGAGTTCTCTCCTAAAGTGGCTGATTTTGGTTTGGCCAAGCTTTGTAATAGGGAAAACACTCATGTATCTATGACCGGAGGAAGAGGGACTCCTGGTTATGCTGCACCAGAACTTTGGTTTCCATTTCCTGTGACTCACAAGTGTGATGTTTATAGTTTTGGGATGCTGTTATTTGAGATTATAGGTAGGAGAAGGAATCTTGAAGTTGACTTTCCTGAAAGCCAGGAGTGGTTTCCAAGATGGGTTTGGAAAAAATATGATCATGGACAATTGTGGGAGTTGAGAATAGCCTGTGAGATAGAGGGCAAAAATATGGAGATTTTAGAGAGAATGGTTATGGTAGCTCTTTGGTGTATTCAGTACAGGCCAGAATTTAGACAATTGATGAGTGCTGTGGTGAGAATGTTGGAAGGTGCAGTGGATATTCCTAAACCTTCATGTCCTTTTCAGCCCATGATGAATGGTGCTCGCCCTGCTCAACTTGTTCATTCAGGAGACACCTACAATACTTTGGATTCAGCTTGTGTATTGACGTTAACTGGATCTAGCATTTATTGTGCTACCCCTATCACGAGAAAACCAGAGATTAACATAACATCTAGCTAAGAGGGTAGGCGAGATATCTGTTTCTTTTGTACAATCTATGTACATTATTTGGTCTCTTCACTTATGATTAATATAATTTTTTTATTCTTTTGGTTAAGACTTGTTCTGAGTCAACAGCTATTTAGTCCGCATATTAATACACAGTCAGCAACTTGGATGGATCTTTATTCCATCATTTTAATTCTGGACTAGAAAAGAAAACTACCACCAATTTGAGGATAAAATAAGATTATTTATCTTGTCCCCCTTTTTATTACTTCTAAAATAATAGGTACACAGCTCCTTTCCTTTTTTTTTCCCCTTCTTAAACCAACTGATAATTTAAGTTTATCCAGATTATTTCTCTAGTGATTTTAATAGAAAAGAGTCAGAAGCAACAAACATAAGCAACTTGGATGATTTACCATAATTATTTGGTGGCAGTAACTAGCAGTTGTATCATAACACAAACTTTCACCCTTTCCACTGGCCATGAACAATGATTTACCACAAGCTTTGTTTCTTTTTGCTGATTTAGTGATTTTATGAAGCTCAAAGACCATTTCTTCAGAAGAAGCTACAATCTTTCAAGTCAAAAATCGTTGGCAGATCTGGTGATTGGTTCATGAAAAGCAGAAACGTAACATTAATTGTCAAGAAATAATATATAACGTAATTTGCATGTAATACAAAGAAGTTCAATTATTCATGCCCACACCAATGCAGCAACGTTCAAGGTATTTCTTAATACAAATATCTTGATCTTAAGATATTTCTTAATTAATGATGAATTGCCACTAATTTAATATATTAATTCTACTATAATATTTCTCTTCTCCAAAAAAAAATAATTTATTTTATCATTAAATAAAACTAAAAATGGCATATTAATGATAATATAAATAGACGCAACTGACTCTTATGAAAAATATTTTTTATATATATATTTTGAAATTATATATAACAAAATATGATGTTTTTTGAAAAATTATAAAAATATAATTTTAAAATTGTCAATAACAATTTTTGGTGTAAGTAGAAAAACCAGAAATAAAAAATCGAAAAAATGATGAAGTTTCAAAAATTGTTAATAATAATTTTTTAAAAAAATATTAAAAAAATAAAAGAATTAAAAAATCATCAATAATAATCTTTAAATAATAATAAAATATTTTAAAATATAAAAAATTAGTTAAAAGTTGTCATTAACAATTTTTGAAGAAAAGAGGTTAAAGTCATTATTGACAATTTTTGAAAAAAAGTAATATTTCTGTAATTTTACCAAAATTTCTATATTTCAGTAATTTAAAAAAATCATATTAAAAAAAAAGAGGCCTAAGTGAAAGACATTTAAAAAATGTAATGATCAAGAATTATTAATTGAAAATTAAATTTAAAAATCATTACAAAATTACTTTAGATTTAAGTATGATTTTAAGATCATAAATTAAAAAAATTATATAAACTATTTAGGTAATTAATAATTTAAATTTAACTTAAAAAAAGACAGAAAATAAACTCGAGAGAGAGGAAAATTCTACTTTTATCTAAAAAAGATAGTCTCTTAGTATTAATTAAAAGATATTTCTTAGAGTATATATATTATTGATTTGAATTAGATAGCTTATATTATTTAATAATTTTTTATAAATGAACCGTTAAATTATAAAAAAAAAAAAAAAAAAGGTGTAATTTCTGAGTGAGTATGCCTTACCTCTTTAAAGCGAAATTAGGGCCGAAACCCTACAAGCGGCAGTGGAGGATTATGCCGTGGCGACCCTCTTCACTCTTTCTCTTATAACTCACCGTTCGCCTCCGCTCTTTCTCTTTCTAAGTTTCGGTTGCATCAAAACGCAGCGTTTCGACAGCATGATAAGGGGAGGCCAAACCTACGTTTCTTGCGCTCCGGCGTTCTCAAACGACGGCAAGCGTCTTCTTATCGGCAGCGGCTCCACCGTCTCCGTCTTCAGCACCGCCACCGGAATGCTCGGTTCCTCCTTGGAAGGCCACACTGCCACCGTCACCTCCCTCGTCGTCGTTCCCACTTCCAACTTCTTATGCTACTGTTGGACCTCTTCTCTCGATGGCACTGTTCGTTACTGGGACTTCTCCGTTCCCGAATGCATCAAGATTGTTAATCTTCACTTTCCCGTTTTCTCCATGGTAACAATAACACATTTGTTAACTGTGGTTGGTTCTTTGATTCTTTGAGTTGAAGTAGCGAAAATTAAAATCATAGTGTTCTTTCTTCCTTGCAAACTTTAAACGCGACTAACGTGTTCGTTAGTTGTTATTGGTTCTGAATATTTTAAAGTAGTGAATATTGTAAACCTAGTGTTCCTTGTTTTATTAGATTCAAACGCAAGAAATGCTTTGTCGTTTTGATGTTTTGGTGTCACGTAGGTTCATGTTTTGATTGGTTTGTGATTGTGGATTGAGAAAATGGTGGCTGCGCTTTTTGTTTGATGAATTGTATGTACTTTTAGGTGATACCTTCAATATTATCCCCGCCGGAAGAAAACAGGGCAAAGACGCCTAATGTTATTGCCTATGTGTCTGTTCAAGATACGAATGCACAAGATAATCGCCCCAAACCTCGTCGTGGACAGCTCAGGAAGTGTAATTTGACTAATCAGACACTTAGCAAAATGATCTTGAAAGAGGTGAATTTTGATGAAAACTCTCGTGCAGTATTTTTTTAAAATTTAAAGGATTTTCTTGTGATTATGGAGGACTGGAGATTGCAAATTATAGAATAATCTCAAGGTATTGATTGCGTATGTTTGTGCATTAATGGATCCTGGACTAACGCAATTACATTATGATCATGTTAGCTTCTGGCATTTTATAGACATTGACCAAAAGGTTGAACAATGCAGAAGTCAAACTCAAGGAACACATTCTAACAAATTTCAATCAATCAAGGGCTTTTCTCATGTATTTGCTAATTATGGACAGCTTATTTTGTTGTTCTTTAGAGTATTCGCTTTTGTTACCTTCATTTAGAGCAAAACACAATTGAATACAATATTTCCTCTAACCAGAGATGATTTGATTTCTCTTTATCATCTTTTGTTGTCAATCAACATATATGGGACTGTAATTTAATTATTATCTATTGTGGTTGCTCAAGTGCATGCATGTTCTTTTCCTTTTTGGCAGACTGAACGACCCGAATCTTTAACTATTAGTCCCTCGGGAAAGTTTTTGGGTATAAAAGACAAGCGCAAACTTCATATATGGAAAGTTCCTAAAATGGACTCTGATTCTGCTGTGTCTAAGAAGATTACCCTACATCATACAAAGACTTTTACTGTTCTTGCATTCCATCCGACAGAGAGAATTGTGGCTGCAGGTGATGTAACGGGAAGAATTTTAATTTGGAGAGGATTTGGTGCTCAGAAGTTGCTTGACAGTAGTGGACTTGTGAACGGAAGATCAATGAATGATGTGGAAGATAAGCCTGGGGTAAGGGAAAATGATGATGCTGAATCATGTTCCACATGGCATTGGCACTCTGCTGCTGTGAGGCTTCTATCTTTCTCTTCAGATGGAGCCTACCTGTATTCAGGTAAATTATGATGCCTGAAATAAATAATAGAACCACTGAATTGGGGAAAATTTGTGTGTTAGTATGTGTTGATATTTTTATATATGATGTTCATTGTTTAATTTATGTTATGCTTTGTTGAGCTATCTAAGTTATTATTTTTATGGCTTCATTTGATATCAGGTGGGAAGGAAGGAGTTCTTGTGCTTTGGCAGTTGGACACAGGAAAGAAGAAATTTTTACCCAGAATTGGATCTCCACTTCTGTATTTTGTAGATTCTCCAGATCCATCACTTTCTTCGGTAAGGATTTCTATGTAGTGGAGATTAGAAGTATCTGGGTCTGTCCTGATGACTGGCTCATTATACTGTTTAACTAATTAAGGGTCTGCAGATATCTTGTGCAGATAATCAAATTCATATATTGAAGATGCCTTCAATGGAAATAATAAAGTCTATTTCTGGGATCAAGGTTTGTTCCCATGTTTGAACTCTTTGTATTCTAGTTTCTCAGCTCAAAATGTCCTAATATTATTCCTAATGCACTGAAAAGCCTCTGATGTTGATTATTGATAGAGTGCATTTTAGGAATTATTTTGTTCATTTGAAATTTAAACTATTGACCATCATTATAATTTTCTCCATTAATAGACTTGCAAGATTTTAACACCGTGGCTATTTTAAAGACAGTGTTTGATTTTGTCAAAGTGAATTTTTTAATTCCCTTCCACATCCAACTGTACTGAGAAAATATAAGAACTGTTATGCTAAAAGGTCTTTAGTCATTACTTTTAGAAAAGTATCCTACAAGAACAATGAAAACATGATTTTGTTTTTTATCCATTGTTTATCAATATATTAATATATTTTCCCAGTTACTCATATGTAAACTTTCATTTGCTGGATATAACCTTTATATCACACTTTTTGTTTAACCAGCCCCCTTTATCTTCTCAAGATATATGTGAAAGTCTTTCCAGCCGAGCTGCCTTTGACTGCACTTCTGGTTTAGTGGCTGTACAAACAGAGAACTATGGCGTCCAATTCTACAGCTTGTTTGCTAATCGAGGACTTTATGAGGTAATATATTTCTCTAGGGGAAATTAACCGTTATTGCTAAATTTTTATACAATTATTCTGAGTTAAAAAACTAGTATTGACTTACTGTCTTGCCCAAGGTAGTTAAAATCAGGATTTTACTTCAAATTGTTAAGGGAAGTAAATATTGTAAATCAAAATGTAAGATTTTACAAAAATCATATATCCATGCATATAAATTCATATCATGCATATAAAATAGCTGAAACTATAAAAACCATATTTCCATCCCATGTTTGGCAGAATTTGCCCTGAACCTTCATAGTTCCTTGAATTGAAAATCTATATTTCCATCCCACATCATCCCTGTTTCCACTAGCATTCCGGAGAACCAACCTATGAGGCACACTTGAAGAGCCAACAGCAGTGGAGCTGTCGGTTGCAGTTTGGACAGACCCAAAACAACCACCACTAAGGTTTGAAGCCATTCGTGGACAAGATAAAAATAAAATTAGAGCAAGATGAGAAGAAAACAGCTAACAAGCAGGATTGGGGCAGGGAAAACCACCAAAGGATAGTGAAGAACATGTGATTAAATGTTGAAACCAAGTTGCTCTCGGTCTAGGATTCAACGAAGAAAGAAAGGAAGGATTGATTTAGGAGGGTGGGACTTAGTTTGCACTTAAATATTAGTCGGGTCGGGCTCGGGTTATGAAGGATTTGGGCCAAGATCCAAACCCTACCCCATGATAACATGAAATCGGATCCAAATCACGATTTCACCGATTTATGATTTAAAACCTGATATCACTCTGATTTCACCTGGGAACAATTTTTGCTGGATTTGCATCATTTGACTGATAATAATCGTATTCAACTCCCGATTTTAACTACCTTGGTCTTGCCCTTACCTCTATATTTGTGGGTGCAGAATTGGGGTAAATTGTATTTTTGTTGTTTCGATCAATTTTATTTCTACCTCTTTTACCCCTGGTTATTTTTCAATATGATGAGGTTTCAGATCCTTTTGACAATGTCTGAACAATCTTCAGATATATATCAGTTTGTTTTAGCTGAAGTTTTCATTGTTTCCAATTTGTGTATAATGTTTTGATCTTTGGTCTGGTATTTCTAGCCTAATTTATAATTTCTTTTAAGGTATACTAGTAGCATTAAAATTTGAACACATGGGATGTATAATGTTGATATTTGTCATTTTGCAGGTTCAAGTCTGTGAAAGAAACCATCAACCAGTTGATGAGGTCATGGTATGTGAAAGTTACATATATTTTCTTCTAATTTGATATATTGACAATCTTGCTTATTAGTATCCTCACTTGTCTCTGATAAAGCATTTGGTTAATGATTAATCTTTTTAATGGAATAATGTGATTATAGGTGGTAGTGACATTGGTGGAACTGTCTGTAGATGGCTCTATGATGGGTACTGTTGAAGTCAAGCTTCCTGAAGAAGGAATAGGAGGTCTTGTTTGTTTGAAATTTTGGGATTTGGATGATGACAAAAGATTTTCAGTATCCACCCTTATTTATGAACCTCACAGGTGTGGCCATGTTTTATTTTACAATGGTTATAATTGTGCCTGCATAATGTTAGATATAGCAGTGACTTAATACAATGGCATGATTTATTCAATTATTTAAATTAATTAAACTGAATACTTAAATCTCGGACTTTACATTTGAATAGAAGAGGATGTTTGGTGTTAATTAATTCGTTTATTTAAATAAGACAAATTTAAATTTTGAGTGGAGTTTAGTTAAAAATTTTCAAGTTTAAGCTTAACTTAATAACTTGTTTGTGTCTTTCTTTCTTTAATAACTGTTTTGAATTTTTTTTTTATCAATTTAAGTATTTAAAATATATATTTATATTAAATAAAATAAAATAAAAATAGTACTTTAAAAATAAACATTCAAAGAATTAATTTACTTAATAACTCTATAAATATTAAATTTTGTCAAACTAACTATTAAAAATTAAAAATTAATAAAATATATATAGAAACAAAAACAAACAAAATTATAATTTTTTAAATAAACCTAATAAGTAAATTTGAATGAGCTATAAATAATTTAACTAATTTACAACTCTCATTCTTAAGATATTGATTAAAAAATTAATAAGTTACCTTTTAAAATTACATTAGAATGTATTAAAAATTATACGATGGTATATATATATATATATATATATATTTTATAATTTTAGCAAAAAACATATTGTATTTTTCAACTAATATCATAAAAAAATATTGGTAGTATTTTTTTAATTAATATAATTTCTGATAAACTTCAACGAATCAGCATTGTGGAGTTGACTCATACCTACTTATTGACAGGGATTCTCATATTTCTGCTGTTGCTTTTCATCCTACCCGTCATATGGCTGTCAGTTCATCTTACGGTGGAGATTTCAAGGTAATTTTGGATAACTTCTTGTTATTCATGCTCAGGTTGGGATTTGTTTTTAAAGACAATTATTTATTTTATTTTTACATATTTTAGATATGGGTCTGCAAGGAGGAAATTCGACAGAAAGGCGAGATGCTTCAGAATTCTGGTTGGATGTGCCATGCTGTTGGATCATACAAGTATATAATTTTACTATAATAGCTAGAACTAATTAATATATGCTTGTGTAGGCTATAGATGTTGAAGGAAAAACCAACCAAAACTTTATTGTTTTAGCTTTGCCTTCAATATGCAAATTCTAAATCACCTCTTATCTGATGGGTTGTAATAAATTGGATAACTTTGTTGAACAAGGTTGTTGTCATTTAAATATTGGAAGGGTGATATGTTATGGATATCAAAGAAGAACAAATCAACTAAGTCTTTCTGCAAAATTTTTAATTAATAAAAGAGAAAAGGTTAGTGGTGGCATGAACACCTTGCTGACTCCCCATAATGGGCTGCAGCTATTTTAATTATTTCATTTATTATTTGTTTGTTGTCTTTAGACTTGGAGTGTTGCATTTGATTAAGATTATTTATTTGCAAGTAATCATATTCTTCTGTACGACTAGCAAAAAATGATTTTACTGCTGATTACTTGTTTGAAATTATTTTGATATGATTTACTCATTGTCATGTGGATACATCATTTCCTTTTGCAGAAATAAAGCCATGAGAGCTGCTGCTTTTTCAGCTGATGGTTCCGTGCTGGCTGTTGCAGCAGACACTGTTATTACATTGTGGGACCCTGATAAGAATGTGCTCATTGCTGTTGTAGGAGAGACTCCAACGGTAATTTCTGTTTTTGGTATTCAAGCATGCATCTCTGTATGGTACTGCTTTTTTGCTCATTAATTAGTACCTGTACTCTTTCCCCCTTTTTTCTTATTTTCTTGTATTTTTTCCCCAGCCTATTGCGAGTCTCACCTTTGCTGGAGAGTCGGAGTACCTTCTGTCTGTTTCTCATGGTTCAAAACCACAGTTGTCTGTTTGGAGTATGTCGAAGTTAGCTGCAACTTGGTCATATAGGCTTCTAATTGAAGGTTTAAATATTTTATTCCATTCCCTGTGATATGCTGCCTATGGCCTTACATGTCTCTTGTATTCAATTTTGGAAATCATGTATCATTCAGATTTCTACCCTGTTTGTCTTGCAAGCATTAGCCACTTGTGTTAAATTCTTTGATATTTTCCACCTTTGTTCTTTGCATATCAGCAGACACTGTTCATTGTTTCTAAACCTATAACTAAATGATGGGATTCGCGTTGATCTGACAGAATTTTGATGCATTTTCATGCAGCTGTCTCCTGTGCAATAGATCTATCATATTTTGCTGCTCTTGCTCTCCTTCCTGAATCAAATGAACGTACATTTAAAGGCGATGGAATAATCTTATTATTCAACGTAACAGATCCTGTTCCTGTGGCTTCCTGGTCTGTAACTAAGGTACACTCCCAGATATGCCCCTCTGAAAAATTCTAACATACGATTAAATGCACATTGGTAGTTCCCTTAAGGAGTTTATTATGCATAGCTCTAATGAAGGAATATATGGTATTTTAATTCTTCTATTGCATTTTTATTCTGTGAACTTGCACTATATGTTAAATGTTAAGAAACATTGCACAAGTTATTACATGATGCATAAAACACCAAAAATTGTCAACTTTTCTTATGCTTTTTGATATGTTGCATCATGTTTGACATAAGGGGGATGGTTCCATTTCGTGAAGTGGTTGTTCATAGGTAAATGTTACTGGTTTTTGTTCCATGTAACATACAGAGTAACGTGAGTCACACAGAATGGAACTTTCACACTTCATCGTCTCTTCAGTCCAAGTTGGAATATATACCGAGTACAATTACTGGAGAAGACTTTTGGAGACAAACTTGTAAAACATCTAATGTTAATTGCTGATAGCAATAAAGAAATGATTGCAAGCTAATTTTGTGCATTGTCTTAGAGATAGATACTAAATTAAATTTTGTTTTTCCTTTGCTCTTGGCAACATTTAGGGATGCATGGTAACATTTTAAAGAATAGAAATACATCATAATTCAGATTGTTTGAGTTGCATTCATAATATTTTTCAAAATTGATTTTTTTATCTAAATTTTTTGCCTGTTTAGTGTTTGACAGAATTCATTATTATGCTGGATGATTGATGGTGTTTGGCTGTTTCTTCTCTCTTATTGTTTTCGTTCAGGCCAAGGGAGGGGGGCTTGCTTTCCTCAAAGGAGATCCATCTGAACGAGTGGTTGTTGATGGGAAAGCATCGCAGACTCTGCTTGCATATATAAATGGAGATCGTGAATATGTCCTCTTTGATCCACATGGCAAAGAAACCTGTGAGCTTATTATGACTAGGCAGGATGATCTTGTTTCACTTGAAGAAACAGGTAAGATGACTTCACTTCTTCATCTATTGTGTTTTGTTCAGGTTTTATGCTGCTGGGTTTGCCCCAATGGGTTGTATCTGTAAAATACTTCCACCTTTTGGATGGTGGCCTTTGTATGCTTGCTTAAAATTTTAGTTCTTCGTTTCCTCCTTTCTTCCATTATTTCAGGACAATTTGGATATACATCTATTTATGGAGAGCTACCCAAATTTGATTTGAAAAGGAACGAGGCTTCATCAATTTTATCTGCTGCATCTGAGAGGCCTTGGGAAACCATATTTAGTGGATCGTCACATATGCTACCACCCCTTACCAAATTGTGTTCGGAATTCTTAGAGTCCCTACTTGAAAAAAGGACAGCAACTGTAGAATGACATACTACATGCATGCAACTCGGTTTAAATTGATGATTGGTTCTTTGATGCTACTTCTCGTCAGCAGAGCTCAAGAGGAATACTGGGCTTGAACGTGAGGTAGTTGTATTTCCCTCCAAGACTGGTGTAAACTCTCTGCCTTCTAGCTACTGCCGCAGACTAGTCTGGCGTCAGCAATTTTTCACTTACCTTGGAACTGTTTGTCCAATTAGCTGATGCAGTAAAAGATCGGACAACAAAAGATTCAACTTTAAGTGGTTGGTTATATGGCATAATAGTATACCTGTGAGAGGTTTCCTCTTCCCAACACCCGATTTTGCCTTTGTTCTACTTAATTATATATTTTAGTAATATCAGTTCCTGGATGAACCGAAATTTTGACAGTAACGAATGATGATAAATTTGCAGGGTAGCGATCTTGTAGGCTTGTAATCAATGTGAATGAGTCCTAGGTAATACGGCGATTAATGCTATGGAAGCTACAGTTCATATGTAACAGTATTGTGAATTATAATCAATATAATAGCGATTAATTGTTTTTACCCTCTCTACAACTCCTCGTTGGTCAGCATTGAAGTATCATGTTCTATTTATTTATCTTTTCCCGTAAAAATTATATCTAGACATTTACTCACAGTTAGAGGGTATTAATACAAAATTTCTTTTGACGAGTATCCTAAATAGTAAGAATTTTTTTAATATGCTATAATATTAAATATTTTTAATTAGTTAAAAGGTATATTAATTAATTTTATATTTTCAATAGGATTTTTTTCTTTTTTTTCCTCGTAATCTGTTTTACTAACAAGTATTGTCCCTGATATAATAAAATCTTTTATTTCCCTGCTGGACCAGTATTGTGCCTAAATGAGTGGCTGTGATACAGATGGAGACATGGAAAGTGCAAAGGGAAGATAGGACCACGTTACTGGTGAATTTAATACAGCAAACGACTGTCAAGAACTTTTAAGACATTGTTTTAATTTATTGGACAGGGGTAACTGCTACCGGAAAACATGTCAGAAGTTGATGCAACCATTGTGCACACTGTTCTAATCCCCTAACTCCATGAGATGTTCCTCTCAATACAGCCTGGGCTAATACGTATTTTTCATGTCTTTTCTCTTTTTCCTTTCCTTGAGCAGCTGGCTCACTTGAGCCCAGTTTGTTCATCGGTTTAGTGCAAGCTACGTAGCATTGATTTGCGAATGGACTATTTGATCACGACTACCCCCAAAAAGAAAACTATTTGATCACTTTGCTAATTTACAAATGGGGTTGCACATAGGCCTTCTGTTTTGACAATTACAGGCTCCAATTCGTAAATATATTTTTCACTCAATTTCAAGTACCCCTAAGATAATAAAATGATATATTATGTTAAAATTATTAATATTTATCCTTCGTTGCATTATCTTTGTCGCTGCACCACTAATTCCTCGTAGTCTTTTAGAAGTTAAACAACCTTCAACTTAATGGTATTGAAAAGTAAAAGATATTTTGATAATTTGTCTAAGATTCATTCTCCTTACTTACCGAACAACTTTTTAGGCTGTTTGAGACAACGTTCAACTAACACATGCATAAATGTAACTTTTCGATTCATTAAACTAATTTTGAAACAATATATTTGCCGTCCGAAAAGTCTTACCATTTCATCATCATCTGCCGCTCATTTATGGTTTTTGTTTGTGTGCAACATATTTTATAGCACGGTAGGGAGAGCTGGAGCCATTTCTATCCCTTTGTTTTTGTATGTATAAATAAAGTGGTGCCGCTAATAATCTTCTGATTGTTGTGTATGAAACTGAAGATGAATACATTAATCGTATCTATAATTTGTTTTTGGTACATTGACAATATGGGGAAGTTCAAATTTAAGATCTCTGCTGAAGTTACTCATGCCCTTGTTGACCATTGACACATTTAAGGGTTTAATAGAAGATACTAAAATATCATATTGTGATCACCAAAAATATACAATTTAGAACATAATATATTTTTCTAAAATGCATTAATATTTGGATGTATTAATTTGCCTCGGACAACTTTTATTTGTTTAATGCTAGCTATTGCCCAATTTCAATTTTTTCAAATTTTCAATCAATATTTTTGTATTAATATTAAATATTGCATTATTTTTACATTTTTGTTTTATAATAATTTTCAAGGAAAATTGTAAAATTAATTTATCTTGCTTTCCTCAATATTTTCTTGTTAACGCAGAAAAATAAAAATGTCAACTGAAAATAAATATAAAACAAGACAAACACTCCCGTATGTTAACATAATACCTGATAGACTACGGGTGTGTTTAGTTTCACGTTGAATTTCATGTGATTAACATTTACTCCTTTGTAACATGATTTTATGAAAAAAATAATATTTAATTACTCTTTCAAATAGTTAATTTTGCTTTCAAATTCACATTTAATTTAGCGTGATAAATTGTATTTTTTTATGTTAAGTTGAAAAACTCATTACATTTTATAACAAACTTATGAAAAAAAAATTTAAACATGAGTTCTATTGTTTTAAACTCATTTTTAAGTAAAATTAATTATATAAAATCAAATCCATTCAAACTCAATTTACACACACTGAAACACGGTACATATTTTTTTTTTTCACCTGCGCATAGAAACAAAGAAGCCCTTCTCCTGTGTAAATTAATTCCTTGACTAGCAACAAACAAAAATAATTTTTGCCACACTCCTAATTTACCCCCTCAAAAGCAAACGCAGGAGATGCAACGAAACCAAAAGTTCCCTTCCAACATGATTATTAATACATCAAACTCTGCTAAGGATTCGGTTCTGAATATCTGCATGCAAATGTGTTCTTGTGAACCCCAAATTGATATTGATATTTACTATAATATTTAACATCATATGCATTCACAAGTACATGACAGATCTACTGAGCCTTCCAATTTTCAAATGAGGGATACTGGCATTCCGCATATGGCAACTTGCGTGACAGCCAATAATCCATGAAACTTTTTGTTCCGTAGTTATTTGTTTATTCTTATGCTCTATTATGTTTATATAAAAACTACATTGATTCTCAACATGAAATATCTTCTCTGTGAAAAACTAACCTCGCTGGAGTTTTAACTTCAGAGTTTTATTCCATTGACATTCATTATTGTTAAAATATATTGGTTACAATAGGTAACTAGTTCAAATGATATATACTTGATTTTTTTTGAAAAAAAATAAGATCTTAAGTTTGGATTTTATGTATAAAAAAATTCATTAAAAAAGCAATTCTATAATATTGTAAATGTTCTTGACTTAAAAATTATTATCTCTGTTAAAAGATAACTATAATCTAACCAAAATAAAACATATCGGTGGTATTTCACTATCAAGAAATAACATTATAGAAGACATATAAGAAACGTAATATAGTTAACTTACACTGATCATATTAAGATGAAAATGCCAAAAGCAAGTGAACTACTTCTAAACTTTGCGCACACAATGTGTGTAATGTACAAAGAGAACCTGGAATGTGAATATTTTCTTTTTATTACTTCTTGAATGCAGTAAGCTGAAGGTGATTAGACCCTTTGGCCTAATTGTTACTTCCCACATTATTATATTATTAGGCTTGGAAAGCTTGCATTAAGATTTCAAATGGATTTGTCATATGGTGTTTTCTTTTTTTCCTTGTGTAAAGACCAATTATTGCTAAGCATAATTAAATTAATTCCTTTTTTAACCAAAAAATATCACAATTAAAAAAATATGAGCCATGATTATACCCGTTTTATATCCAATGTCTCTATCTAAACCTCTTGATTCTCATAATATTGTTAGTCACATCGTGTTGAAAAATTGCAGAGAGTGGACCTTAAGGACCCAATTATATCTGCCTTGTTTCACAAAATCATATTATCAGTGAATTGATTAGTGCACGAAAAGAACCTTCATCTGTTCTTTTCCTCTGAAGTTACCAACATATTGGAGTTCACTACAATAAATATTTCACATTCACAAAAAAATTATTAAGATTGATTAGATAGGAGTAACACAGGCACAAGAAGCTAGATTTGTGAAGCGTGTATATATATATATATATACATGTAATTGAAAGATGCACCTAAGTACTTCCAATGGAGTCAAGTAAAGACATTGAAAAAGAACTGTCATATTCATATTCAAGATCCTCAAAACCCCAGAACTCTTCCTCTTGCTCCTCTTCTTCCTCTGGCATTTTCCACTTCTCTATATCCATCTTTCCCTCCTCCATTATCTCTAATACCTGTCAATTCAAATAAATTAAATACTATATATTATTATTAACATTTAAAAGGAATAAACTGTTTCAAAATCTCCATCTAACTACAATCACTGTTGCAAATTTCTATGCTAAGAATTTTCTGACCATTCACCATTATATGCACAGTGTCAACCATTATTGTCGTGTGCGTGATTCACAATAAAACAAGAGGCCCACCCTCCCAATGAATTGCATGTCTTTCATATGAGTGAAAAGAACAAATCTTAATTATATAATTATTATTTATACATATTTTTAAATTCAAAGTAATGAGAATAATAAATGTGACTCATGTAACTACATATAAGATGAATAACATTAAAAATTAACTAAAGTTGTCACTTTTTGAAGTTATCATGTAATTTGTATGTTTTAATAAGGATAATTTATAATAAAATAAAATATAATAATTAAGATTTATATTTATATCTTTGAACTAAAAAATATTTTCATTATTTGATATTTCTTATACGTGGGACTGCGTATATATTATCTGCTGTCTTGCTAGCATGCAGGGTTAAAATTAGGTAGGAGAGGACATCAAGTGATCAATCAATTTGCAAAATTAAAAAAATGCTGCCATTGGCATAGAGAAAATTAGGATAAATATCTATTCATGCGTCAGATTTTTGACTGGTGAAAAATAATGAGCAAAGGCATCATAATAAAATAAAATGACAGTTGACAATATGGCATTATATTTAGAAATTTCGAAGCCAGGAAATATCTATACTTTATTGGTAACTTGGCTACCGACTAAAAGGCAATAATTGGATTGGTGAACACGCCACACATCCTAATAATACATAAATATGACAATTTGACAAAGCTTATGAAGATTAACTCCTCCCAGAATAAGAAACATGCCACTCAGAAGATCCATTAATGCCATAATAATAATAATAATAATAATCTTTTTATTGCAATAAACCATATGCCATGCAAAATTTTGGACACGCCAACATAAGCATGGTTAACTAGAAGACTATTTCCACGAAATTACATACATATATAAAGTCTATATAAAAATTCTCTAATTAACTGAATAAAAGAAAATGCCAAGTGGACGAGTCGCAATCTAATTAACTACAAGAAAATGTGTGTTATTTGTGCAATATCATGGTGGTTATACCAGTCAAGGGTAACCAAATACTTTCCTAGTTAATCATGTCATGACCAAAACAAAATTGGTCATTTGTTTCCTTGGGGTGATGAAGATTGATGGAAAGGACTTGTGACTTATGACTTCATCGGTTCAGCTTTCATTTCTTATTTCTTAATGTTAATAAGTGTCTTTAGATGTTGATTGCAAAAATCAATAGCAAAACATTTTAATAATATTTATCATATTTAAAATATTTGATACTTTTTTAAACAATTAAAATCACTCAATATAGTGTGTTTGTTTGGAGTAATGTAAGTAAGTTAAATAAAGCATAACAAAATAGAATAATATTTTTTCATGTTTGAATTGTTTAAAATGAGATCCAATAATGAAAAAGCTCTGCTACTTCCGATTTGGAGGCATAGGATGCAGTCATTTTTCCCCATTCTCTTGTAAAAATACTCAGATAATGGAATAATATTTTTTTTCACTTTATTCTATTTCACTTCATTTCAGTCTATTTCATATTATTTTATTAGACAAATTACATCTGTATCTTTTAAATTTTAATAAATTTTATCTAATATCTCATTCTTTTTTTATACAATTTTTTAAAAATTTATATAACCACATAATGTCTTTCTCAATAACACTGACTTCTCTTCATTTCTTTCATGAAGGTTCTATAAATTAAAAAGATCAAAGTGATATAAAAAAAATATATCAAACAACATTTCGTTAAATTTTAATAAATATGAATATAATTTACCCTATGTTATTAAATTTCATTCACTGTTATATATTGAAACAGAATCTTAATATACTCATTAGTAATATCCTTTCCTAATTTTACCAACAATCATTAAAATGGTATCTTATTTTGTTTATTAATTTTTATGAACAATCGGAAGTTCTTCTACCATAATAAGTGAAGAGAAACGTTTAAGCTCTAATTATTCTTCTAGCATTGGTCCCCTCATGAGTAGAAGTAGAGCCCGAGATCCTTAAAAAGTATTTTTACATTGTTTTTTCAAAGTTATTATTTTTAACTTACTTGAAAATATTAAAATGAATCTTTTTAAAAAATAATAATTTAAACATATTTTTCAATTAAGAAAAACCTAGTTTTATTTAAAAAGAAGGAAAACAAGCAGGTCCAAAGGCAAAGAAACAAGTATAAGCTACCTCACTCATGGTAGGTCGCCAAGTTGAAGATGCCCGAATGCACAGTGAGGCAGCAAAGGCAAGTCCTTTTAATTGTGTAATATCATAAGCCCCTTCAAGCCTTGGATCTACCAACTCTTCTATCTCACCCTTGTTCAAAATTGGTTTAGCCTGTTTATTCACAATATATATAGTTAATGTACGCAAAATGTTTAATTAATAAAACTAAATCAATTTAAAACCCATCATTAGTCTAGCCAAAAACTAGAAGAAACCTAAAAGGCATTTCCAAAGGGATACGTCAAGTTCATGAGATGATAAAAGTCACAAGAATAAAAGGAAAAAAGAGGGACTACTCAACCTACCCAGCTATGTAAGCTTTGGTGAGACCCATCCACTGGTTTCCTTCCAGAGATAACTTCTAGCAAGAACACACCAAAGGCAAATACATCTGTCTTCTCATCCACAACACCATGCAAATAGTACTCTGGGGCCAAATGTCTACGAAAAATAGAGCATTTCCATTTTTAAATCAATTTTCTTTTTTTGAAAAAATATAGTACATTAATTAATAGCTATCACTGAAGGATCTTGGAAAAGAAGAGTACCCAAATGTCCCTTCTATTGGAGCAATTGAATGATGAGTCCATTGAGATGGAAGCCATTTTGCTAGTCCAAAATCAGATATCTGCCACAATTATAACATAGAGCTCAGTAATAAGAATAAACCCATCAAAAGCACACTTTATTTGGAATATTGATTCAGCTGAAAAAGGTAAGTAAAGTGCAGATTTAAAGGACCTGTGGTTCCAAATCTTTGGTCAATAGAATGTTTGAGGCCTTGATGTCCCGGTGGATAATCCTCCTCTTGCAACCTTTGTGCAAGTAGTGAAGGCCACGTGCAGTTCCAATAGCTATTTTATGCCTTGTTTTCCAATCTAAAGGAGGCAACTTTTCATCTACAAAGAAAATTCATGCACTATTTAGACCCTTTCTTTTCTACAAACCCAGAAGACATCACAAACTTTAATGCCAAAATTTCAATTTTTATGATGAAAAAAGGTTGGTTTTTTTTTTTTTTTGTGGGGGGGGGTGGTGGTTATAATGGTTCATGTACCATGAAGAAGAGTGGCAACTGAGCCTCTAGAAGATAGCTCAAAAACAAGGTAAAGTCCATTGTCAATACAACACCCCAGTAGAGGCAAAACATTGATATGGTGAACATGACCAATTGTACCAATCTCTGTTAAAAACTCCTTCTCCTTCCTCTCATCCCTAGAAGTTCTTGTGAGCCTCTTCACTGCAATTTCCTCACCATCATTCAGTGTTCCCTTGTAAACCTCTGCATACCCTCCTTTTCCAACCAAATTTTCTGAGACAAGAACAAAAAAAAATGTCAACTTTCTACTCCCCGAAAGAAGAAGAAAGAAACACACTTGAGTTTTCAAAACAAGTCTGTCTCAATCACCTGAGCTGAAGCCACTAGTTGCATCAAACAACTCTTCATAAGAGAAACATTTCCAAGTGGGTCTTTCAGAAGGTTCTTCGTGCGGAAGAATCACCAAGCTCTCATCGTTTTCTTCACCAGTTGAAACTTTAGGACTCAAAATATGTTCCCCTGAACCTCGTCTTCTCAAGGAGAAGAGCCTCTTCAAGCTGTTGCTCCGAATATACCTCATTACAATGAAGAACAAAACAGGAAACTCTGTTTCATGCAGAACAGAGGACAAGCGAAATAACAGAGTGTTTTGACTCTCACGACATAGACACACACAGGCTCGTTGGTTTTCTTAGTTGGAAGGTGTGGCGTGGAGAAGGGCCATGTACTGGGGAGGGACCGTTAGAGGGGCTTAAATGCTTTTGTGTCGTGTTTCCATTTTTTCAAGATACAAATACTAACAAAACTTACAAACTAAGGTCGATTAAACTTGCGTGCCTATGGGTTCCAATTTCGTGCGGGTGGGATTGTGCCACCCTATTATCCTCTCTATTTAATTCCCTTAATTCACCCAATTAATTGCTACACCAGACCAATGTTGGTAATAAATCTATCACTAACTCACTTTTCTTTAAAATAATATGTAATACATTAATAATATTAAATAATTAATCTATAATAAAAAATATATATTATTTTTAAAATTTTATTACATATTTTTTAGATATAGAATAAAAAAATTGAGCATAAGAAAATTTTCTATCCTTGTATTGTGCAATAAAAGAATTGCTAACATTAAACCTCTTAATTTATTTATTTTCCTACAAATAATGTGGATGTTCAAAGAAAGGCATGTTTTAATGAAAAGAAAAAAATGGAGAGAAACATGACGCCATATGTGAGTTTGTGATGTGCTACTATCGATCCTAGTGGATATAGCCACATCCAACTGGTAATGGTTCAGGTAAACCACTTCGCATTTATAATGGAAAACGAGCTGTAATGACTAAGTTGCCTCCTTCTATTACTGTCAAATTATTTTCAGACCCAAGCCCAACTTCCATTTTCTGAAATGTCTCTCCATATTCAGATTAATCCAAACGCTTAAAATTATTACTTTTTTTAAAGTAAAACTCAAGTTATGATGATAAATTTTTTATATGCTAAAAAAGTTTATGTTAGTTGCCCATCTTAACAATTACAAGTTTTTGAGATTCTTTTTTTCTCTTCGTTGGTAGGAGTGAAAGTGTCATGAAATCCTGCATGATACATGCTTTGGCATGTGATTAGTTTCGCCAATCGCTTTGTCTTGGTGGTAGAATTGAGAATTGACAAATTTTAAATAAATAATTCTTATGTTTCTCAAATTCATCCTAAAATTTTATATTTTGATATATATTTTTTTAAATAGTCGAAAATTGAGGCTGTTCGTGTAAGGGTTCCATGTGCCACAGTCCATAATTTGGTGGGACTTAAGTGCATGTGACAAATTTATAATCCAAAAACCAAATTAATGCTACTTTACAGAAGCTGTACCAAATTTATATATATATAAGGAACCTGTACCCTATAACCATCTTCATAAAGTGAAAAATGAAAAATCTTAAAATTCAAAAGACACTTAAAAGAAGGGTAAATAATCATAATAATTCACGATTTTTAGCAAATTTTTAAGTCTGTCCTCAAAATTATATCTGTTAAGTATTTTAATTCTTGAAATTTTAGAATATTTTAAATTTCTGATTGAGAAAAAAAATATTTTATTTTTATTTTATGAATAAAAAAATTTAATTGAATGGTATAATATTTTGTAAAGTTAAAGACTAACAAACAATTTTAAAACTTTCAATATCTGAAATGTCTTTCTCATATAATTTTGAGAAATAATTTTAAAATTTACTCCACAATTTTTATTTTTTTTAAAATCTTATGCACAACAGTGTTACAGGATAATCAAATTAATCTCACACCATCTAACTAAAAGCAATTCACAGTCGTCACTAGCTAAAAGCAGCACCGGATAACGATCAACAACAAATGTAACCAATTCGTACGTAGTCATTGAACAGGTTCAGTATGTTCTATGTATGCTCCTTTTGTTCATTTCAAGCAATAAGCGACATGTTGTTATCCGTTCATCATTAACCAAAAGAAAAGGTCTAACGTAATAATAAAAAACAAACAAGCAAACAAAAGAGTTGATTTCATCCATTAGGTAATCTGCACTCTTGATGATAACGATTATTTGTTATTTATACAATCCATATATATATATATATATAATTAATTATCTGAACTTCTCATTAATTAAATTTAAAATTGTAAGGATATTGACAATGATTTAGAGGTTTTGGCACATGATTTGTTTTCGTTAATCATTTCTTCTACTTAATTTTCTACAAACCATGACATCGAAAGATTTGTCATGACGCAGTTATACAAAGGCTACAGAGACTGGTGAAGGAGCTTGAAGCAGAAGACATTAACATCCAAAGGCCAAAAATTTCCACAATATTAGTATTGGTCAAGCGTTGATTCCATGCTAATCTATTGTCAAGGAACTTGGGTCAACGTTGCGTCAACAAACGACTGACTTTTCAAAGCAGGAAAATGGTTTCTTTGAATTTGAAGTGAAGTTGCTGATCTCTTTGTTCGATAACCATTTTCCAAATTCCTTTAATAATTAAAATTCAGAATTTACAAATTGTGTTGTTGCTCTTTTTCTCATTCTTATATTTCAAGATAACATATTTTTATTTTTGTCTCTGTCAGTTTTTTATTTGAATACAGAAACTTTTTGCCATCTTAAATTATCAGTCATATTTAATTTGAAATCAATGCAGTCACGAGCTTTAACATATCTACCTTCTGAAATACATAAAACTCATAGATAGTGTAAATATATGTGTCTATGATGAAGATTGAAACAAATGGCAGGACCACTGCTGAATCCATGGTGATATTAGTTTTGCTTTCACCAAAAACTTGGAAGTTAGAAGTGGGAAAGGTCCCTTTCTGGCCAACTACTTATAAGGTTGTATGCGCGTGTGGTCACCTTTGGCCATTAAAGTTCCTCAGCTGGGAGCACATGAGCAATCTCCAAGGAACTGCAAGCTATGTTCAGATGTGCTCTTTCTTTTCTTTTCTGCTTTGCTCCCTCTTCACGAGCTTCACTTTCCTCCTTATAGTAGCTGTCTTCATTTATTTTAACCATTTTTTTAACACGTATGTAAGGAAGTATAGTAAAATTTAATAAATGATATTTTTATTAAAAATTATAACATTTAATAATATTAATATATTCAATTCTATAATTATAATATTTTTTTTATTATGTCTTATTTTTAAAAAAAATATTAAAAATTTGTATACTTTAATCGTTTTAGATATATTTATTATTTAATATATAAATATTGATAAAATAGAGGATAAATTTATAGCATATAACTATTTTTTATTAACTTTGATGAATTATATATTTAATTATTATAAATAGTATTAAAAATATTATTTTAATAAAACAAAGGAATAAAATTTTGAGAGAAACCAAATATTGGAAAATAATTGATCAATCACGTTCTCCTTAAATAAGATATCTTTTAATTTCTCTTCCTTCTGGGAGGGTTTGCAGAGAAGAATAAGAACAAACTAGGATGAAATCAATGCACTAATGTGATTGAGTTATGAAAATGTGATATTTCGTCTTTCATTTGTTTCTTTCCATTTTTATACAATAGTCTTTGATTCTTGGTCAAAAAGATCATTGGTTAAAGACAAAAGAGTTAAAAAAAATGATGAAATTTTAATAAAATAATTTCACTGTTGGGTGTTGGAAATCGTGGGACTGTGGGAGGGATAAATATAGCTTACCAGCTTTAAACTTTAGTGTTCTCCAATATTTGGGTTTCTTGTGTTCACCAATGTAAACCAACAAAGAACAGAGACCGATTTACGCGTGCAAGAAATGCTTGTCATCAGGGAATCAATTCAAGACGCAGTTCTGCATGCCTGTGAAAACTTTTTAAACGAAAACCCTTGTTCGTTTGCTTAGTGCCAAACTCAATTCTTTCTGTTTTTTACCCTGACTTCGAACATTGGTTCCAATTCTTCAAAATAATGCAACATGTTGATTGTGTTTCAAGCAATCATGGATATAATTAATCATATTAAAGTAAACGTTAATTTGTAGATAGTTAGTGTGTGTTTGAAAATAAATTAAAAAATATAACATAAAATTTTCAATTAGTAACGTTAAAAAAATGTATATATTTATAAGATAATTGACCATTCTGATCATTAAATGATTTATATCACAAAAAATATGTGAAACTTCAACTCAGATTTTTAATATACCTTTTATGCGTGCATATTACATAACTACACCAATAAAAAATGGCAGATTTAAGGATAAAACTTGTTTTATTTAACTAATCGCTGATAAACTCATTCCACAAACAAACAGATGTATATGTATATCATACATTTCATTTGACTATATGAAAGTGACATAATTCATAGACAGTGAAAAGCTCTTGTATGTTTTTATAAGTATCTTTTTTTTCTCTTTTATGTTTTTATATGATCCCTGCCTACCAGTTTTGTTTTTCTTTTTCTGCTTTTCTTTTGTTGGTCAACTTTTCTGGCCGGAGGATATCTGTGTGCGAGTTCAATTTTATGGCGCGGAGAGTTGACGGCTGAACCCATGACCAAACCTTAGCCGCCGTTAAGCTTCAGCCTAACTCACATTTGAAAATGGGCTTAGCAAAATCAGCAATTCCAGATTGTTAGAATGTGGCTACTAGCAGTATTCAAAGCCTAACTAATTTATTAAATCTGAAAAATCTGAAATAAAAAATGTAAAATCAATTACACTGAATTTATTCAGTTTAACCTGTTATCTGGAATCTTGAAAAAAATGTACTATTTGAAATTTAACTCATCTAATTGAATTAAAATTTTGTATTGTTTATTCTCATTTATGAAATTTCCTGTAGTATATTAAGTTGAAGTTAAGTTTCTCCCTTTGATCTAAACATTTAACATTGGATTGATATGATTTATTTAGAACTGTATATAAAATTTGTTGTGTTTATCTAAGTTTTTATTTATTGTATGTGTTAAAGCAATTTAGACTTTATTTGATCAAATTATATACATATAAGAAAATATAATAAAAATTGATTTAATTGAAATTGATATAAATGATATTATATTGGGTCAATTTTAATTTATTAAGAGAACTAATTGACTTTATAATATTATAAAAACAGTAATTAAATTATATTGGTTTTTCTTTTTCAAATTCATCCAATCTAGTTGCAGACTTTCCTATTGATTATTTGCTGGAGTTGCTTAGTTAGTAAATGTCCATATAATTCACTCCAAAGACTTCGATTTATATCTTTTTATTATTTTTTGAAACAAAAACTCGAGTCCTTCTATGTACACAATATGCAATTTAACAATTGAAAAAAACTATTATGCACTTCAAATTTTCCATTAAAAATAAGACTAATATCTCTTACTATAAGAGTTGTTTTAAAATATTATGTAGAAGTAGGATTATCATTTAAAAAAGAGTATAAACAATTTTAAGAAAACGATTTGAAAAGAGAAGCCATCTCCATCACAAGTTTCCTATGTTCAACGTTGTTTTTTTTTAATTACGTAGGTGTATCCTTTAAAATGTCAAAATAGAAATGAATAGGTCAAAACTAATTTATTTGTAACTAGGCTGTTTCATAGGGTACTTATTTTATTCGTGGGGCGCTGATTTACTTATATTTTTTAGCCGTCAATTTTAACTAAATATGCTATAAAATAATTTAAATTTTAATTCAAATTTAATTTGGTCGTATATGCTCGCCTATAATAGTATTACTTTATCACAAAATTATAAAAAAATGGACAGCATGTTAATAGAAAACGATGTTACAACAACTGAACCAGCTTTGAATTCAAAGGATTTGAGTGCAGGACTCAATAAACTTCGAGTAACTTGCATGGCTAATGCCATTCTTATTATTATAGTGCATGTTCTCTGTGACTGTGCACACAATTCGTGGGAATAGTATACAAATGAAAATCCAGGAGTGACGACACCTCTCACCCTTGCGTAATTGATATTAAACATGCCCCAAAAAATATTTATATGAAACATTCATACGCAACCAAGCAATGTTGTAATTAACTATTAGCTACAATGGACTGATTTGCTAACACAAATTTAAAGTTCAAAACTTGATAAAAATATGGTACAACTTTTTTTTTAATCTCAATGACCGGTAAGAAGAGCATGCAGAGAACAAAACTCTACCCTCTGCTGCGTAGGATGACTTCATAATTGAGAAGTGAAATGAAGATTAAGAGCAGTGATCAACCCTTCACGGGGGTACTTTCTATCAGTTTTATATGAAGAAGCATAATTGCTAAAAGGAAAAGCTAAGAATTTGTAAGCAGATAAATGTTCATGTACTACAAAAAAGAAAAAAGTTGAGAGTTAAGATTATATTTTTATGAATATGATATTTACCTTTGTTGAAATTAAATAATTAGAATTAATGTTATGAAACATTATTTTTCTGTACAAACGGAATTATTTAATCTGTTGGTATGATGCATTAATGTATTATTAGAATAGACCTGCAATATTAAAATTTTAATTTTTTTGGGAAAATATTAATCAACAAACTCTAGTCCAACATTAAATCTTTAGTATGTAACGATTTTTTTAGTGTTTCGATATATAGTTATGAGCTTTGTGATGGAAAGAAAAATTTGTTGATAGCTTAAGAGACTTTGAATGGATGAGTAGGAAGATAACTTGAAATTTGTGATCGAGAAACTATAAAATTATTAAAATGGTGAATAACTGTGCTATTTATTCTGTATCGTAAAACAAAATGAACTTGTTTGCTTCCCTAATTAACCAAGATAAGAAGGCAAGTAAAGCTGAGGTATAAAGTTTTGATGTTTTATTTTTGAGTGTAAAAAGGAAACGTAACCTAAGAGAGAGAGAGAGAGAAGCAATCAGCATCTGAAGTAGGGCAATAGCCATTAGGCAAAATGGCCCGTTTATTATAGGGCTTAGCCAAAGCGGTCCATGAATCCAAAAGCCACCTTACACCATGACCGATCGCGACCGTGACCGTGACCGTGACCGAGCTCGCGATAGAGAAAGAGAACGAAGACGAGACAAGGAGGACCGTGACCGTGACCGTGACCGTGACCGTGACCGAGCGCGTACCAAGAGATCTCGTTCGCGTTCACCTGAGCGTGTCCGTTCCCGCCACGCGCGCTCACCTGACCGTTCGCGCTCTCCCCCCGAACGCTCCCACCGCCGGCGCCACCACCGCACGCCTTCTGCCGATCCCCCGAGGAAGCGTCACCGGAGAGACTCGGCTGAGGACGAGCATAAGGAGACGAAGAAAGCGGTGTCGGACTTCGTGGATGGCATCGTGAAGGAACAGCAGCAGAAGCAGAAAGAGAATGGAAGCGGAGAAGAAGGTGAGGAGAACGAGGATGAGGTGGAGATGATGAAGATTTTAGGGATTCCCACTGGATTTGACTCCACCAAGGGAAAGCCTGTGCCTGGTGCTGATGTCAGTGCCGTCAGAGCCGTCACCAAGCGCCAACCTAGACAGTACATGAACCGCCGCGGCGGATTTAACCGCCCGTTGCCTGCTGAGAGGAATCGCTAGGGTTTTCTCAGGTGTGTTCAATTTTCTTTCCTTTCTCACTAATAATCGTGTATGGGTTTTTTTTTGGAATTTGCTGGTTGCAGCTTGCGATAAGGTTTGGATTTAGCTTCGTTCAGCGTTTGATTGAATATTGAATTGAGTTGTTTTCCTCATTCAGATGATGATGATTAACTGAATGTTTTCCATGTTTTAGTAATACGGTAACAGTATGGGTTTTTAAGTGTGCCGTTCTTTTAATGCATTGCATTATGCAGTTTAGTATTCATGCGTAGGGTGAGGTTAGCTCAATTTTTGTGTTTGTTAGCTTTGTCAAATTGTTTAATCTTTAGCATTGATACAGTTAGTGTTTTATCTATTACCTTACCGGGGCGATAAGTCCTGATAAAATTGGAAGTTGTAAATTCATTCAGGCACTCTTTATCAGTTTACACACAAAATGTAGAGTTTCATATCTATGATAAATTACTTTCATCTTTCTCCTAGGCTAATTAACTCTCATCAATCAGTAAAATTTTCCCCCCTTTAAAATAACTGCTGTTATTTTCCATTCAAGATTAGCCTTAGAATTAATTACTCTCCTTGTTACACTTGCACAATCTCACGATCCTCCCTCCTATTTTCAAAACCTACGAAAACTTTCTGCAATTACCATTGACACCCATTCTCTCCCTCAATATTCCTTTCTTCAAATTTCACAAATTTTGGCTAGAGGAAGTTAATTTGATTTTCAACACATAGGAGAGGTTGATGTAATTAGAGAAGAATGTGTGAGGGGTGAGAGTAACAATATAATATACTCTTAATATGCAAACATTCAGTAATTTTGAGTTTTTTTTTTAATATGTGTAGTAATTTGAATTTCTCTAAAAATATGTATCAATTTCAGGTGTTTGCTGTTTTACAATCTGTGTTATACCATGATGGTGCAGTTTGTAATGACTGTTAAAGAAAAGTATTTAGGCTAATTACATATTCCTAGTTTTGTGTTTCAGAGGTTGTCATTTAACTCCTTTATAAATTCATGTCAAACTCACATGGCATTGTTTAGTCGTTAGAAGTTAGGCTTAATAGTGGTTTAGTGCATACATGTTCATTCTTAGTTGTAGACACTAATGACTAAACATTTGTACAAACTACAACGAGAAGATTCTGGCATGATAGATGAGGAGTGACAAATCGATCACAATTCTTGCATAATGCACATTCTCTTTGTAGTACTAGTATTATATTCAATTATTCAGGGATTCTATGCTGCCAAGTCCTTCAGTATGGAAAGCAGCACCATAGGATGCATAGGCTGGCAAGACATCTCTACCTTGTACTTGGATATGCAATATGGGGTACTATGGCATACTCCCTTTCCACTCACAGTAGCAGTAAATAAATGTGATTATATGTGCCCGATTCAAGCATGGTAGTGGAAAACAGACAACGGATGACCCTCAAGAGATGAAAATTCAACCCCCCCCCCCCCCCCAAGCTGAATTTACTAGCAGAATTCTCCCATACCCTTGCCCTAACTGATTTGTCCCCTGTATACCTTCTCACCTTAATTATCTCTTCTGTGTCTTATTGACTGGCACTCTTCCACATTCTCAGGTGCTGCTCTTTTCAGCCAAACACCCGTTGGCCCTTTTTATATAGATATTTCCAAACTTAGGCCTAGGTTCAACATGGTTTGTTGGCAATTGATCCATTTGGTAATGCAGGTTGCTCACAGACTATTGAGAATTGATGGGCATGTTGGAGGGAAGTAGTGAGTTTTGAACTTCAGATTTGTGAAGTATTTTATTTGTTATTTTTGGCTCATTGTGGAATAAACTTATCTTTTTCTGAAACATTGTTTAAGTTTGGAGACTGCTGAGAGATCGTGATTACAAGTAATTAATTAGACTGTGGAACATAAGGTGTGAATTGTGATAGGATGTAATTGCAATAATAACTAAATTTTGCTGATAAAGTTGATATTACATAAGTGGGCTCACTGCCGAAGTGCATTTATTTTTTTCGTGTTATTTTTGTTGGACAGAGAGATGCTATGTTACTATGTTAGATTTTCAAACTTTCGAAAGGATAAGCTGTGTTATTCATGGCTATAAGAATAATGATTATTTACTATCACTGTTATGAAAACCCTGTTTCGAAAAGGCCACTGCTTGACATTAACATGTGTTTATGGTAATTTTGATTCACCCTCCTTTGAAATGAAATATTCTATTACATTCTTCATTTGTATAATTGGTGCTCCTAAACTTTGAAACAATATTGTGCGAAGGTTAATTTCCCTGCATTCATACTTTTCGTTTACAGCAGTGTTGATTACATGTCTTTTTGCTGTAACATATAAAAAGTTACCGCAAGATTGTCTGTCTATGTAACTGCTTGTTTTGCACAAGAAGAGTGATTTTGTATGAATTAATTTGTGCAAAATTGTTAGTCCAAGGCTTATGAATGAGTCGGCCATTATTTTTTCATTTGAATTGAAAGACACAAATCAGACTTCCTTATACTTGTTGGTGTGCATTTCCTGAGATGTCTTTCACACTATTAAGCACTTTTCCTTTGCCTAATCAATTATGGCCATTATTCATTGCAGGTGAGTGATATCTTTTGGTGGGCTTTGAATCATGTAGAAATTGGAACCAGAAACCCTTGGTGGGACTCAAATGAAAGCTTGTAAGAGTTCCACCAGTTATTCGTGTCTTCAATTTAATATCCTGTGGCTCAGTGTCCCGTGTAATTGGTGTTAGGCATGTTTTATTTTTAACCTCTAGTACCATTCAAAGAATTTGCCAAATTTTCACGCGTTATGTTGATTTAACTGCATGCCTTGCGCCTTGGAATTCACATATGCTTTGATTAAGGAGTCAGATGATTCTGGATTTCAATATCATGACTAAAGGATGTGGGAACCTGTTGCTCTCCGTCCTAAACTAGTAGTTTTAATGCTATATCCCAATACCTATGTTGTGTACACATTCAGCTTGTGTTTTTGCGTTTAGAGGCCTAAGACGTGCGTTGATGGTAAACGCATCGTAGAGTAGTGTAGGGTTCAACGAGAATAGTTCAGGTTTTAACTCATTCCCAAACATGCACTTAATGTAAAAAGCAAGAGTAATATTTTGTTTGATCTAGGACCTAAGAATTCTCCCACGAGTCATGAGATGCATGGGTTCTGATTACGGAGGTATCTGGATTCTGCATATCATGACCAATAGATGGGGAAGATTATTAACCCTAACCTTAAACTATTATTATTCCCTACTGAATAATTCTCATTGAGAGCTAGCTGGATATGCTGCAAAACGGCATGGATTTGTAACCGGCCGTCCCCAATCGCACCCCTCATCCTCCAGGCCCGACCAAATAAATCTGAACTATTATCAGCAGCAAGTACTGAAAGTTGTAAGGTGTACCAGAATTCAATTTCACCGAAGGAACCAAAAAACAAGAATTATGCTAGTACGACAAGACATAGCTTCTCTCTCTCTCTCTCTCTCTCTCTCTCTCTCTCTCTCTCTCTTGTAGATGCGAAGGGAGAATGGCATATATGCCCTTAGAAAATGTTTTTATCAACAGGGACTTCAAAGAAAATTCACAGCATTATGTGCAAATTGATCCTCCAGATTAACTCGCTTAATTAAGTATTATTTTTCGGAAAACAATGTCAAGATTTTAACCCGGTAAGATTACGTGATTTAAATTGAGTTTTAACACAAATGTTTTAGTTTACAGTTATTTCTTTTAACGTAACAGCTTTTTTTTTTTTTTTGGGTGTATGTGTACAATTTATCGACATTACAAGGTTCGGGCATTGAATCACATCTTGTATAAATGTGATACTATCCAAATTAACAACTTCCTTATTAAGAACAATGCATCAATTATTTTATCTGTGCCTCATCATTACATTTTTGAAATAAAAATAGAACATCCAATATCTTAAAATGAATTTTTTTACATTTAAATAATCATTAAGAATTAAAATATATTAGTGTTTCTAGGCAAGGTAGTCTGGTGAAGAGAGTAACTGGGCCAAGTATTTTTCCTAATAGGCAAGTCTTGAATGACGTGAGATTTGTGCTAAGTTATCATAATAGTATAATTTATTATTACTTATATATAAGAAGTTGCCAAAAGAAAAACGGAAGAGTAGGGAGAGAGGGAGAATAGAACATGGACTCCCCTTGTTTCCATTAGGTAATCAGGCGTTGGCACTTGGCAGTAAGAACGCTTTAATGTTGCAATACTTAGGTTTTTTAATGGTGATTTACTCATTATTTGACAACTTGCCTCTTTCTGTCCATCGAGGACCACATTCACGCTTCCCTTCCTAGGAAACGAGGGGCCCAGATATCAAATTGATGATAATCTCCTAACCCACTAACTCGAATGCTTATGCGAAATATTGTTGTTTGTGATCCTCAATCATACAATGCACACAACTCGACACATAACTATGGGCTAGTTTTGCTACAGGATTGCATCTTTCTGTTTATGGGTTGGTTTTGCCGCAAGGATTACATATTTAATCCCTCAATCCTTCTTTTTACCAAAAGAAAAATCATGAAACACCTCAATCCTAGGGTACATGGAATCCATCATGTGTGTGGGACCAAAGCAAAGGCCAGATCACTTATGCCTATCATAATCAATGGTTTTGATAAAGGAAACTCCTTTAAAATAAATTTATATAAGTATGCAAGTAAGACAAATGGTAGAATCAACTTAAAATTCAAACCAAACTCAATGTCTGTTTCAAACCAATGGCTGTAACTTTCCAAATCCACCTTATTTATTCCACTAGATGAGTAACAGCAAACTTTAATTACGCTAAAAAAATAGAAAGAGAAGAAAAATAAAGAGAGATATTATTGAGAATTTGAACAAGGATTTGAAGATAAATAAGAGCAGAATGCCTCAAGAGCTATTGGTGGTAGCAGGTTTTTGAATGACGAAGGCCATTGATTGCATGTGGCGCTGGTTGTCAAATGCTATGCAGCGTATATATGCATTTGGATATGCCCTTTTGCATTCATGGATCTCATTCAGCACTTGGGAAGAGTCGGTGCAACCAAACATTGGTAGCTTCCACAGTGTCCAATACCTCCCATCATAGTAGCCTGGCATATGGCTGTTTTCTCTACTAATATACCCCAACTTCCATGTTCCAAACAGTATAGAGGTCTATATTAGTTGTGACTAAGATTTACAAGGATCCTTAGAAAACTGAAACATTATATTTCAGAGGAATCAAAATAAACAGTTCTATTGTATCTGATTTTTTTAAAAAAAAGAAAAATCTAGGATATGATCTAAAACTAACCTCATCAAATTCAAGGCAAGGTGTCCATCCCTTCTTGAGCATGTAGTCAATCTCCTTTGCAATGGATGCATCTGATAGGGGTGGTAGGTAGGACAGTGTTTCAAACTTCCTATTATTGATGGGATTCCATGTCTGTTTCAAGTTCAAACACATCATAGATTACAACATATTAGACAAAAAAAAGAGAGAAATAAGTTTTGGGGTACTACTAATACATGTAACCAACTTATCTAATTGTGAACAAGTCATTCTATTACTTCACCTTCATGCAGTGAGTTTTAGAACCATTAGAAACAATCTTCCTTTTCCAACCAATGGACCCTGCACTAGAGTAAAGATTTGCCGAGTTGGACTTCAAGCCAACGAAGCCAGAACCAGCAACCTGAGTTGCAAAAGTTCCAGCAGACATTGTACTCATGTGAGTGTTGAAACAAAATTTTGTTGAAAGAGAGGACAGGGGCTATGCAACTATGATTCTATAAATGACTTAAATCAATATTTGATCTTAGAAGGAGGCAGAATAGTTAGACAAAAAGACAAAAGAAATAGGCTTGGTGATACTGAAATGATGTATAAGTAGACGATGGGCACTAGAAAAGGGAGAGTTTAATTAGGCTACAAAGCTTTGATTTCCTCAACAGTTAAATAGTACAATTCCCTGCCTTTTCACAATTTTGTCAACACTTTTTGTGAGGGTAGGGGCCCGCCAATTCCTGGTGCTGAGGAATTTTTTCCATCAAGTTGAATACACGGTTTAACCATCTGAATAAAATAAACAAACCCCTTTTTCATTTGGCTTTTGTAGTGTACAAAAAACAAGTTTAGCTAGATGTGGACATTGTTGGAATCCCAACAACCTGCTCTGCTGGCCAAATTAAGAATGACTTCAATTTACACTAGTGAAACCGGCTTACAGAACATAAGTGCTTCTCTTGAACATGTATCACAACAGTGAAATCATTAAGTTCGTTTTCTTATTCACTTAAAGCACCAGTATTGTTATGGTAGTACCTTTCACTGAGCTGAGGCTCTAAATCCATCAAACACTGCCCATTTCTCTGTTCCAACACGTGATCATCATATATACCCATTAAACAAAGACCCCCATATCAATAGCATACTGTTAGTGAACATATCAGCCTCTTTGATTTGTGCACCTCCTCCCAAAATATCTATACTATAATGCTCTATGGATGGTGGGATGCCATATATATTATTCATACGTAAAATTAAATGCCAAGCTTAATTCAATAGATATTAGTTATCACTGCATGCGGTTTGAGTCCAACCTTTGGTATCTGTTCAAAGATTTTTAAAGGGCCATTCGATTCTTTCAACTGGTGACAAAACCTATGATCATAGCACTCCTAGTCTTAACATGTGTATTTTGCATGGATTTCAATCATTTTGGCCCAGAGCTCAAAAATTCATGCATTAACAAGAGATCTGTGGGGCCTCATTTGTACAAATCTTCAACTCACTGTAAAGGTCGATTCTCGCGTTCAAGCGCACACATACCATTGCGCTATAGCAAACATCGTTCCTTTGAGGAATTGAATCAAATATATTGTTAACATCAAGCATATATGCTGATCAATGTTAACTTAACCGTGTATTAAAATGAAAAATTGTTCCCGTAAATCGTTAAAACTGATTTTAAACAAATGAAAGTAATAAGCTTTACAAAATTGATTCATCATACTTAAAATAGCCTTAAAGATTAATGATTAACAAAATCGTAAAAAAAAAACTTTGTTAAGTTCTTTACCTCACACCTTGAAAGGAATTAATTCAATTATTGGCTAGATGATATCTTTAATAATAAATAAATCCATGGCTATGCTTTTTTAACCCAGGAATAACTGCAATAATCCAACAAGCCGTAACATTCTTACAGGTACTTTCGTGAAACACGCGACAATTAACTTATATCGCTCCATGCTTGACAAAATAGCACCCAACTAGCATACGATGATTCTGATCAATTCCCCAAATTCACTATCTGGGACTGAAGTAAAAACAGATACTGTGAAACACATGCTTTTGCATTTGTCAAAGAATAGACTCGCGGATTCTGAATTTCTGGAAAAATCCATTATCAAGATATTAGTTATTACTCCATCTTGATTAGCAAGAAGTATTGTTAATTATTGCTCACTAATGATGTATCAATATATCGTTCACTTAATTCGCACGATGGTTTAGTCAACACAAATTTTTTCCTTTACAACAAACTGGTAGAAGTTAAAGTTCTAGGCTGCTCCATTCATGAGTCTATACTTTTAACCAATTGGGCCCTCGTCAGCATAAAAGACTAGTAAAAATTATGCGTGAGAATTTTTTTTTTAAAAAAAAAAACTCTTCCGTGCTCAAGAACAAGCTGAACAAAACATATTAACGCTATTATTGTCTCCTTTGGCCAAAACTAAAATTTAACATAAATCCCCTCAATGTTACCTACCAAAAAGTGTAATGACAATATAGTGAGGAGAGAGTTCCAAATTGAAAAACAAAAAAATATCAATTTGAAATAGTAATGTATAATAAAAGTAAATCTAAAATTCTTACATCATCAAATGAATGATAATGCTGAATTAAATATATTTTTTAACTGTCTAAATGAAGAATATTAGAAATCTAAAGAATTACTGCATGGACGGGCTTGAAGCTTCAGGCTTTCAGGCTAGTAGCTGGACCTACAAAATCTGGTCAATGCCAAAGCTTCATGCAGAACCCCGCTGGCACCACTGATGTTCTTTTGCTGGAAATACATTCTGAGAAGGTGTCCACAAGTTGCTCTGCAAGAGAAGCTGGATCTTCAAGAAATGTATCAATGTATATTTTCACAATCCTTACTTCTTGAGGGGTTGCTCTTAAGCTGTACCAAGTCAGAAATTTCTGCCTGAAGTTCTTTTCTATATGTCCTTCACACTCTAACCATCTAATCACCTTCACATAATACTCGAAATCACGGTCCGAAAATCCGTTTGCTGCGCAGCCCTGGCCCTCATCTTGCCTTTCTCCACTTCTCTTCTTTGACGTACTCCCATCTTGGGGCCCCTCCCTTTTCCCTGGTCCATTTTCTTGATCTTTGCCACTGGATTTAGATCTACCATTTCTTCCTGGCCCATCCTTAAGTATTTCCAACTTGCATGGAGTATTGGGCAAGGCTCCTTCTGAGCTACATAGTAATGGCACACATTCCCTCGCCGGTAGAACAGGGGAATTCAAGCCATCATCAGTGCTCATGTCCTCGGTGACTTGTTCCTCTGAAGAATGCTTGTTTTCTAGCTTTAGCATGTCAGAACTAGGAATGGAGCCAGTCATTCCTCCAGCATGCTGCTTGTCTGACAAGGAATCTGCATCAGTGGGAAGTACCCCTCCACCTATATTGGAACAGTTAATAGCATCGTTAGATAAATTTCCAGAAGCAAGCTGGTTGCTATCCTTGTGATAAGAACGATAATTGTCAGCCCGGTTATCAGTCTGGTCACTATATGGATTACAGTTATTAGTTTCATCTTCCACTGATGACGGATTGGAAAGGCTGCTGCAGTTGGTTACTGGGCTCTGACTTCTTTCTGTAGCTGAGCAATTAGGGACTTCATCCTCACCGTGCTCCGTCGTGATTTGAACTTCACGCATACCCAATTCCCTCGAATCATTGGAAACAACTTTGAAACTGTATTCTGTACCAGGATTTAGACCCCTGATACTGAACCTTCTATTTGGTAGGAGTGAAGTGCAAGTTGGGTCCACGGGATAGTCCACATCATCACCTTTGCGATGCCACAAGGTGTAACCAGCAATATTTTCTTCTGAGGGATCTTCAGAACCCAAAATGACAGTGAGGGATGTGGCAGTGACTTCTTCAAACCTCACCATATTTGGAGCCAGCAAATGTGCATCTGAAAATGTCAAGTATGTATCCCACAGATGTCAATAATATTACCTTATTTGAGATTCTAGTCCTAGTGGTAAAAAATAATTTTGGAGGTCTAGTAATCATGTTTGGCTGCTGATCCCACAATTACTTTTGGGTGCCAAAAGTAGATTGACATTGTTACATGTGACCAAAAAAATATTGGTATCTCCACATTGGAATTTCCACTTTATTCAGTTTATCATAATAATATAGATGCACAAGGGAAATTGAGAAAAAGATAAAAATAAGCAAGTGATCACCTTGAATTGGTGGATTGGGTGACAAAGGCAAGACCCTTTTCAAAAGCAGTGAATCAAGTGATTCCAGAGCAAAACCACAGAGTTTCTGAACCTCAGGACCCGAGGAAAGCCTGTTCACAATCCCCCTACCAATCTTCACTGGTGAGCCAGTCAGTGGACCCACTTCAGGTTCAAGTTTATTCACTGCTTCATCAACAATTTTATAAAGCTCTTGATATGTTTCAGTCCCTTGTAAAAGTCTTTGGCTTAAGGACACACGATAACAGAGTATATCTACGCGTCTAGTATCCTTTGCAACCATCAGTTGTTTTTTCCAGCATCTAGCACATTTTAAGAAACAAACCCAGTTGAGATTGATCTTACCCTACATATTTCCAATTTTTCATCCAAAAAGGAATACACCATGCATTAAGGAACAACTTTACCATCTTTAGACTGAAAAATTACAATATCTTTGCTATAGTAATGAGTTAAATTCACTAATCACTATAGCAAAGCAATAAAAAATAACATTCAACAATTAATCTCTCTCTCTCACTCACGCAAAAATGATCATGCCAAAGACTCATCTTTAGATGAAAGACTGCATGTTTAAACCAACTCATGAACTAAACAAAGCCATGAGCCAATTTGCTAATAAAGCGGGAGAAGGATTTAAAAAACAAAGGAGACGGATTTCACTTATACCATTGATTCATTTCATGCAGTTAATGCAGATAATTCTGCTAACTAATATTTAATTGATCATGAGAATTCTAAGACGACCCCACTGACTTTTTTTTTTTTTTCCATTATTGTCTATTCTGAAAGTCTTTTGATGCAATTGTAAAACACAATCTTCTTGAAGTCGGATACATAATAATTTGCATGTGCGGAAAATCTCCAGTGTAGACACCCAAAGACAGAGAAAAACAGAAAACCATTAGCATAATTTTAAATGAATACATGATGCTATCTAATAAACTGAAAACCATCAGTATAATTACCCGAGTAAATCATTTACTTTCCCACAAGAGACACAGTAGAAGCCTCCATCAAGCTTGAGACGCTCACCATCTTTGCCAATTCCAGAACCGTCATGTTTTAAAGCACACTCAAGGTGGCATGACAAACCACAAGAAACACCAGGAAATGGAGTTTCAGAACTACATATTAACCACAGGCTAGGGTCTTTGTTGTCGTCATATTGATGACAAATGCAGCAAGAACATCTTTTGCAAAATGCATCTGCTTGATTTAGGGTAGCTTTGCAAGCTGAGTTTTTGCAGTATGTAGTATTAACCACATCACCACCATTATTGACTGAAATACCGTTAGCAGGAACAGGTACTCGAGAAGGATTCTCAATTTTTCTCTGCCTTTTGGCGGGCTTCTGACTATGAGCAGGAGAAGATTGTGATTCAGGGTCTGTTGTGATTTCATGACCCCCTGATTTCTTTTCAGAAACAATTTTTAGAAGGTTTTCTATAATTTTCAACTTTGTCAGCCCAGTATACTTTCTTTCTTTTCCCATCTCTGCACACAATATTTGCAAAATATCTTGACGGCTCCATGACTGAAGCATCTCGGATGCACCATGAGACCACTTAGATATTTCATATACAAGTTCTCTTTTTTCCTCCATACTCAATTTACTGCACTTAGAAGGATCAAGTGCAAGGCCTAGGATTACAGAAAAAGAAAACATATATCAGTACATTAGATAAATGTGAATATTCTAACTGTATACATTAAGGAGACAAGACTAGTTCTACGAAGACTCCTCCCGCAACTCTTATTCATGCTAGACATGTCATCATCATGGAGACTACAAGCAGGAATACTACATTTTCTAGATGCAAATTGAACGCAATTATCTTTAGACATACTTAATAAATTAGTCCTGTAAGTTATCTACAAGTTAAGGCCCCAAATTTGTTATAGTCTAAAATATTGACTACTTAAAAATTATGACCAAGAAGGCTAGAACAAGTAACATTATAAAATGTATACAATAGGAACTGGTTGACTTTGCTTCACAAGGACATCCCAACCACTTGAAATACGGCAAAACAAAAAGAAAAAAGAAATATTGGAGACCTCGTGCAACGGACTAATCAATAAAGTAAGAAGGCATTTGGACTGAACCTCCTTTGATCATTATTGAAGACTCCATACTCTCCTAATATAGAACCCAAAGACCCGCTAATTTAGTAGCTGGCACATCGTGTACCAAATTACAAAGTGACTTCATTCAAGCCTCCTTCCTCTCTTATAATGAATCAATGAAGTATTTTACACTGCTCAGGCCGTGTTGTAAGACCCCAAATGAAGAATCACAAAAGAAAAAAATAGAAACTAAGTCAAATAATAATAAAAGAAACACCTTTTCTAGAAAAAAAAAAATATTTGTTTTTTTAAATCAACAGCTAACCACCAACACCTAATTCTCAGAAAAAGCACACAAGAAGAGATCACAACAAATTAAATTAAATCAAACCCCAGAGAAACCAGATATATAACAATGCTAAAACCGCATACAGATTAAACAACAAGTGGATCGTTAACTTCAGTGGTAAATTAAGTCCCACGAGCCTGAGCATAGCACAGAAAACGAATCCTTCAGGGAATTCAATCACCCCAGTTTCAACAGACCAACATAGTGGCATATACATGAAAATTAGAAGAATAAGTACGCAAGTTATAGAGGCTTTACCCTCAAAAGAGGAATCCGTAGCCATAGCTATGCAACAAGAAGGAATCACTCATGCCACCACATTACCACCAAAAGCCCAAAACTTGTTGTAACCTGCACAACACAAAATCCAATCCGCATCATGGGTCGCCCTATATAAACCCAAAAACCATAAATTGAAGGGGGAAAAAATCATCATCACCCGAGAGAGAGAGAGAGAGAGAGAGAAAATGAAATAACAAATACCAAGAAAAGATGCTTGAAATTCTAGAAGAGAGAACGAATCCATTAACCGAAAATTGGTCTCACACACAATCTCTTTCTCTCTCTGTGTAAAAGAAGGAGATTGGAAGTGGAGGACCTTGCTTTAGAGAGAGAAAACTTCCAATTGTAGAGAGAGAGAGAGAGAGAGAGAGAGAAAAGTGCTTGCGTTGTTTGTTAGATAAAAATCAATCAATAAATAAAATAAAATAAAATAAAAAGAGGTGCATGCTATTGTGTTGCTATTGATATTGCGATACTCACTCACTCAACAACAATTTTACAATTCAGCTTTGGTTCTGTTGGAAATTGGAATAGTCCAACATCCTAATTTACCAAAATATCCCTCTTTTCTAGTACCCATTAGGCGACCCTGCATTTATATTTTGGTGTGTCCTAGTTATTGTACTATCCACATACACCATATCCCATCACTAACCTGCACCATAAATTCATGCATCAGAAATTTCAAGAATACACCTACATCCATAGGGAGTGATGTGCCCTCACTCGCCATTGCATGACAATATTTTAACTACGTCTTGTCTATTTTTATCTTTATTTGTTGTCAATGATATTTTTTTACTTTTTGCAAAATTATCTTCATATATATTATCAGTAATTAAAATGTGACTTACAAACATTGTACTTTTAAGTATGGTTTGAATATAAAGAATGTAATGAGCCAACAAGGTGCATGAAATTTTAATTATGATTCTTACTTTGTTTGATACTCGAGTTTTTTTTCAACTGATAATGGACACTTTAATGGTTATTAAATCTCGATGCTTGTTTTTTATGTATTATTTATCTGGATAAAAGTGTATGACAGTGAAAATTCAAAGAATTAGTTAGGAATACTTATTTTGTTAATACTTTTAATGATACTGTTTTAAAAATGCTTTTTTTATTTTTGTGGTATAATAAGGATTTATTTGTATAGACAGATATTTTTCTTTTCTGAGAGAGGGACAAAATTATCCATATAGCAAAGGCACACGATTGGATAATGGGGAGTGTTAAATTTTGTTGGCATGGCAGAGCCAGGGATACCCACATGTGTGATCAGAGTCAACAAGAGGGGTGATATGGTCAATTAGCATTAGTTGTCCCACAAATTACTGCAGTGTAAGGAAGAAAGTGTGGGGTTTATTATTTATTTTAAATTTTTTATTTTTTTTTTTTGAGAGAGAGAGAGGTTTGTTCACAACTTACTTGTACAGTGATAGTGCTGGGTGATCCTTTCCCATCTCACACCACTCACTCCCTCGTTTGCAATTGGTTTGTAGCTTATATTGCACACCCGACATATTAATAATGCTTGCTTTCTTCTACATTGAAAAAAGGAAAATTAGATGTTTAACATGTTCTATGGTTGTTGGTTCTCTTCCATATATGGTACTGTACTTAAGAGATATTACTGCTTTAAGCAAATTTATGGTTCTGAAATGGGGGAAAAGATTGCATTTTTCACCCATCTGTACGCTCCTTTTTTTATGATTATGGTTTTAATTAGTTCAGAAAAACAAGATCCTTGCTACAATGCTTAAACTGGTTCCTCAAAAAAAACAAAAAATCCAAGGTAAATTATGAATAAAAATCGGGGATGTAATATGAACATTTGAGATTAATAATAATAATAATAAAAAACATGAAGATAACGAGCCAGATCCCAACCGAATAACAGACTATATAAGATGAATATAATATTGGGGTGGAGCATTATGAATGGTCCAAAGGAAATGAAAGAAAATGAAAAGAAAAAGTAGATTATGGTTGAAATGAAAATGACATTTGCCTAAATTAAACAAAAGGTATAGAGATAAGGTGGTGCGGCAGATGGCGCCGACGAAATGAATAATCATGCCATGGAATGGCTGTTTGCTTTTGCTTGTCGATTTTTCAATAAGACTCACTGTATTAGAATCTCCTATTTTCACACTTATTATGCAAAAGTGTTAAATTTTATGTATCATTTTCAAGTTTTTTGGCTAAAATTATCATTTTTTTATTTTTATTTAATGTTTCTTGACTTTTTATGTTCTCAATCTTTTAAATTTTTGTTTTCATCAGTTAAAAAAATTTAATAAATTTCCCCATTATATTGTTATGATTTTCAATTTTAATTTCTGTACTTAAGTTATTTAATTTTAAAAAAATTAATTTATTTCATGTATGTGTTTCTTAATCTTTCATATAGAGAACCTTTCATATTTTAATTTTAACATTAGTTTTTTTTTTCAAAAATTGAAATAAATAGCAATTAAAATTTGTTAATTTAAATAAATAAAAATATTATTTATATTAATATTAAATAAAAATATAAAAAATATTTATATAATATTCACTAAGCATTGTTTATCATTTATTTATAAATTTCATGATCTTTAACTATAATCTTTCACGTATAATATTTGATTTTTTTTTCTTTTACTTTTTACTGGTTATGAAATGTACAAGTTAATAGAAGTCATAAACTACAAGAATTTAACCAAAAAAATCATATAACATCTTTAGTAAAAGAACTTTTATATTATAGATAAATAAATTATTAATAAAACATAAACAAAACATTATAATTTATGCTATTTGTGATAAGCATCGTCCGACCACAAATATTAATATATAAAAATAGACAATGTTAATAAATACATGCATGATTACAATTTTTTTTCTGTTTATTTTATCCACCTGCTCTAGGAAATTTAAATTGGAACAAAAGCAATATTCATTTTTATTTTTTTGAGATTAAGGATAAATCTAAATAAATAGTTTTATTTAATAAATTATATTTAAATTTAAATACAGATCTTATAAAAATAAACAAAAATTCATTAAATTTCCCTGAAAAAATTATATATTAAAATAAGACAAAAATAATTAATGAAAACATCACCCTTTTTAATAATAAATTTAAATAAGCTCTTTATAAACTCTTTCAAACATCTTTAAAAGCTAATTATCAGTGTACTCTTTTCTTATTTTGTTATATAAAATCATTTCAACTAAATTATACAGATTAAAAAAATTATCAAAAATAGTCAATGTGTTGATCTTTTTTAAAAGTTAATCATAACATTCTGACTTTATTTGTAGTTAAAGTTAAATTTTATTATTATATTAGTTATAAGAAGTCATAAAGAATTAATAACAAAGACAATATATATCCAAAATAATAAATATTTTTAAAATTTTGTAAAGAATCTTGCATCAAAGATTAATAAAAAATATAAAAAAAAGATCAGATAGAAAGGATGGAAAGAGCATATGACTTCCATGGATCATTGAATTAATCAATGCCTTAAAACGTACAATGCATGTGATTGAGATAATAAACAGTTCGAGTCTTCCAGATCCGGGTTTTAATTTCTTTGTTGGCTGGTTTTCTACTTACTTAATGTTATCTCTGTGGATGTTCAAACAAGTTACTCCCAAGAAACTAAAAACCCAAAACTATCATAAATATTGCCCCCATGTGCTTATAACCCCAACTCCCAAGACTAAATAAAAAAGTAATTCAAAGCGTTAACGTAGTGATATGAAGTCTGGTTAATTATATTCGCATGCATGTAATTGATCTATTTAGATTTAAATTCTATCATGTATAATTCTCTTTTACTCTTTTAACTTGAAAACATGTCATCATCTCTGATCTTAAAAAAAGAAAAATCCTTACAGTTTTGCAGTATTTTTAAACTGCATTAGACAGATCACATATAAATGTGTGCAAGGATTAGTTGCCAATTATTGTTTAAATAATGTAAACGTCAAGGGTTATATATAATAATGCAATCCCTTCACAAACAAGCTCAAGCGACTTTTCTAAAGCAAAATAAGATTAGGTTATTCCAGCTGGCAGCTGCCATGCAGGTGAAAAAAAAAGAAAAACTAGCGTTGGAAGTATATATCAAAGAACCATTTGTGTATATATAATCTTTGCGCATCTCGATCACTTATAAATTATGAAAGGAATATATCTTGTTTATAGCTATGTAAAGATTTGGATACATTTTACATATACGATTGGGAATCATTACTAGTGATATTATAATTAATTATCACTATTATTGGCTTGGCTGTTCCATAAAGAAATTTCTATTGGTGGCCATGGTTCACCAACAATTATTATCCTCTTTGTGGTCCTCTTGTTTCATTCATATTTTTGGGTGGTCCTTGTCATCAATGATGACATGAAAATCATTGCATTCCTTATAGCCTTATAAGTTTTCCTTGCTATCTATAAACGCGATTACTTGTCCAAATCACTGTGTGAAATAATTAGCCCCAAAAGAAGAGTTACTGTGTGAAGGTAATTATAAACTCCAAAGAATTATTATGATTACTAGAATAATCGTGGTGAAAAGACAAAGAATAGTAAGGAGGAAACTTTGACTTCAATTCTTATACATAGGTCATGTCCCCACCAACTTTTATCACCTCTGTTTTGCTTATTTGCCATTTATACTGGATGTTTGGACATGGTTTCTGTTGCAGCTAGCAATCACAATAATTAAAATAGTCTTTAGCTCCGATAAATTCAAATTATATTTCTTGTGAATGAGAAAATAATTCACCCACAGCCTTTACAATATGTTTACATTTATGACATGCCCAATAATACAAAAGAAATATAATAAAGTCACAATTCATATATAAGGACACAACGGAATCAAAATGTAATATTGAACTAACCAAGAGTTGGTAGACAACATAGAAAACAAAAATAAACGCCGAATAGTCAAGTCAAGATGGTTCTAGATTATTAGTATTGCTATTAAAGTAAAAGCGATTTGCTCATCAATTTGTGACATTATCATATTCTAAAGATCATAAATCACTTTCTACTTGGTGGTTGAGGGGTGTGTAGGTGTGTGTGTGCAAAGAAAAACAAATGCAATATTTTAACAGTTCAATATATCAACTTTTCGATTTAAACTAATATGCTCTGTCATTAAAAAGTTTTATAAGCTAAAGCTGAAATAATTTAACAGCTGAAATTTTTATAGGATCTTCATTTTCCTAATATAAAAGGCATGGATTGATTAAAAGTAAGAATATTGAGGAATGGAATTAAAAGAAAAGGAAAATTAAACCATTTTGGTTGAAGTACTACTTCCTACACTGGTGCCTGCTTTTGGGTGATATTTGTCAAATACAAAAAGCACTTGTTTGTGTTATGATATACCATATTTTCACGTAAAATACAAGTCATGAATATCCTTAAAATCGCCTTAATCAAATCAGGGAGAAAGTCAGAAAAAGCCACACAATGCACAATTATCACACAAAGATGTGACAAAAAAGCAGAGCCTAATAAGG